GAGTTTTCAGAAAATGACTTTGTCTGGAGGTGGTATCCACCCTCAGCTGGTGTTAAGTTAGGATTAGGATGGGTAGGGCCATATAAAGTTATTAAAAAGATCACAGATGTGACTTACCAAGTTCAAAAAGACCCTAAGAGCCTTTTCATTGTTGTACATGTAGATCAGTTAAAACCCTATGAAGGCATTTTACCTCCTAGAAACTGGACACCAGTAGTTACTTCCCTTGACGAGTCATTAGAACCCCCTGTAGATAATACTCCTGTAGATTTTCATGATCAAGAGGAAGTTGAGGAGACTATTCCTCCTGTTTTTAATTTACCTAGTCCTGAACCCCTTAGACAATCAAGGTGGGGTAGAACAATCAAACCCCCTGTTATCTACTCTCCTTGAGACCAGGCATCTAGGCATTTTATTTTTTTTTTATTTTTTTTTAAATGCCTATGTAAATAGTTATTTTTATTTTTGAATTCAATATATAATATGATATGATATATAAAAGGTTTGAGTTGACCTTTTGTAGTGATGACAAGTGATATTTAATTTTTGAAATATCTCACTCTAGTTTTAAGAAGTAGATCTTTATTACTTATTAATGAGTTAGTTTTTGGTAGTCATTTATTTTCTTTTGAGAATAACATTCAAGTTAGCACTGATTTTGACTTTAGTGGATACAAGGTCAATGATAGATGTTTTATTTATTTAATAAGACACAGTAGTTGGCAATGATTTATAGTTATCTAGAAGTCAAAACAGTATATTTCAGTTCTTTCGGTTTATTCAGTAACAGTAATAATAGATATGAATCATTGAGAGCTTGGTATTCTTAGTTTAATACTGACCGTAGATGATCTTTAAATTATCTCCCTTGTACTGTGCTGAAATCAACACTTAAGTTTTTCATATAGTTAATCTATGGAAGGTGATGCATAGGTCATCCCTTGTTTAGGTTATGTTATAAGTATGTGCACTACTTGATAACATTTTAGATTTAATTCAGTGGATTCTGAATTTGATAGATAACTATGTTGATTAACTTTCCATATATTCTGATATTATTTGAAGTCTTAGAATTTAAGATTTTAATTTTAAAAAAAAAAGTTATTTTCTTAGAGATATGACACCAAGACTTGTATTGATGGTGATTAATTTGATTTAATACTTTTCTAATTCTTGTTTTACAATGTTTTTACATTTATCAGATGGAAGTTCTTGATTTATCTGTGCCTGAGGAGGAGATGGAGGCCCTCTTTGAGGAGGAAACCATCCATACTGAGTGGCCATCTGATGGAGGCATTTGTCTCATCCAAAACTGCCCTTTGAAGGACCATGTGTTTAACAAGATAGGATCCTACCGGGCGCATTACTTGAAATATCATAAAGCTAAGGTCCCCACATATTACTGTTTTTCCTCTTCATGTTCATTCTTTTCCTTTAAGATGAACATGCTTAGACGACACATGATGACCAAACACTCTGGATTACAAGGATGCTGCTTATCCAAAGTTATAGAAAATCCTCGTTTTGTTGATCCAGGAAAGATTGGTATGCCTGTGCCCACTATTCATCGGGAAGCGCGGGATATGGCTGCCAAGGCTCGACGTCGTGCTATTAAACCACTCTTTCGTCTTCAGACCTGGAATCCTCATGATCAGAAACCAGAGTTTTATTAACTGTATAAATGTAAAATATCACATTATGTTGTTTTGAAAACAAAAATTTATTGTAAATTTTGTTTTTTTTTAAGGGGGGAGGAATGTAGTGGTTTAGATTTTTATTTCATAGCCATCATTTCGTAAATAATATTTTACAAGTATTTGCTGATATTTCAGTCAGATTATTCTATTTATCATTTGTTTTCAGTTGTTACTTACGTAAAACCCCTTTATTATTTGTCTGTTATAAGTTAGGACATGTGTTGACATTCCACATGTTTTACTTTTTAAACAGGAAGTGTCATCCATGTTGGCAGTCTTTCCGTAGTACTTTTGGTAGCTGTGTTCTGATTGGTTAACTTAGCTATAGAATCTTTGATGTTTATTGGCTTTTATATTTGGGCCTATAGCTAGGGTATTTAAAGCCGTGTTCGTGTAGTTTTCTTCACTTGGGTTGGGGAACAGACCTAATGGTTAGTTCCTCTTTACAGTGCTAATAAAACCTCCTGGTTTAAACGCACTTATTTGCTTAGTACCCTTTAGTAGTGCTAACAAAATCTTATGATTTAACAGTACTCTAGGTCTTAGCTAGCTTTAGTTTCACGTTTTTCACAGATTCTAGATTTTTTTTAGGAAACAGTTAGGATGTAGGTTTAATAGAATAAATTTATTTTCCCCTTTCCAAGTCAAGCCTGGTCTAGGGATTTGTAGATAACAGGTATAATTCCTAGAACCACTATTTACTATTTATTATTTATTTTTGGTGTTGTTTATTTTCTGGGTCAGTTATTTTTAGAACCTAGAATTAGCATTGATATTTTCAGTTCAACTCTAGAGTGTTGATAGTAGTCATATTGAGTGATGTAGCTCATTCCTTTGACATTCATTTATTCATTTAATAGGATTTTTGACCTTTTTCATAAGTATGGAAACTCGGTAGGGACATAAATTATTTTCATAGGTTTTTCACATTCCTCCCATTTTTTCCTTTTAAATTTTTCACAAACTTCTTATTTATTTATTGAGATTATTGTTATTCACTTGCCAGATTAAATTATATTTTTGATAAAACTATTTATTCCTGTGCAATTTTGAAAGACTTTATTCTTGTTTAAATTTTGACTATTATTTATTATTTGTTATCATTTACAAAGGTTAATTCTCACTTTATTAAATTTATAAAACTTACAACTGTGTTTTCATTTAGCGTTGATCATAGTTCAGATATCCCCTTACCTGGGTTGACAATCATAACTGGAGGCAGTTTACTGCTTTAAGCCAAGTTGGCTATTAACTTTGTTGATTTATCTATTAAAGAGTTCTACTTCCGGTTACACATGTATATCTTATGAAATTCTTAATCCAGCAGATGTTAAATCAACAAGGAATATTTGTAACTTCAGACGTGATGCTTTTAACATGAGAAAATCCATGTGACTATATTTGTATACTATATGTATGACTTGCGCCACACGTCAATAAACAAAATAAATAAATAGGCATAAATAAATAAATAAATATAGTGCCCACGTGTATACATGTATCTAACTCAGTGTATATATTATTGTTTGATCGTACAAATTATCTTTGAGTGAAGAGACCAAAAAAAGCCATGGGGAAAAATACCGCAATAATAAATACAATTTACACTAGACGTAGTAATTGATTGATTTATCTTTTTACCAGCATATTTAGTTCGGGTTCGGTGTTCATAATTTTCAGGCAAAAGGTGGCGTTTGGGATTTTGTTGACAGTTCTTCCCATATTGTCAATATGATTCCGTGGTATATAATAAAACATTATCTGCAGAAACATTCCAGGTTTTGTACATCAACAGTCATCCTCCTCTTGTTTACATTCATTTTCCACAGGTAAAGATTTTTTTTTTGCATAGCTTTGAATTGCAAAATTGTTCTCAAGTCCAGCACAATCTCTTGATTTAGCTATGCTATATAGCTTTATTAATCTATTTAGAATAGCTTATTAAAGCTATTTATATGCAGTTTTTCACGAATTTTTTTTGTAAGAAATAGAAAAAATGATGTAAGTATTTGACTATTCATACATGTGTCATTATCAAAAAAGCAACCCATATAAAAGATAGTTCTAACATTGCAGCTTATGAATACTTTTAAGCAAAAGATGTTTTTCCATTGTTTGGTTCACAGCCTTGTGTTTTTACGTACATTGTTTTCAGAAGAGTTCAAAGTTGAATACTATCACTGCACCAAGGTGCGATTTTTTTGTACATGCTGAAAAATAACACATTTAAAAAAAGTGTGATGAATAGCTATATCAATCTATTCTGAATAGCTTAATACAGCTATGATTATAGCTAATTCAAGCTATGTAGCATAAATCAAGAGATTGTGCCGGACCTGGTTCTCATATCAAATTTATCAGGAATCTGACAATACAAATCTACTGTACTAATTGCAATCAATATTTTTTTGACCCAAGTGATTTCATGTTTACTTTTCAGATATTTCTCACTGATCCTCATAATTTGGTCCTTTATATTTGGATTAGCGGTAACTTACAGTTGCATTAGGTAAGAGTCTATGACAGCTGGTTGATTGATAGATATTCAGAGTCTCAGTAAGAAGTCGCGGATCTCTGGTATGTATGTCTTTGATAGATCTATTTGGAAAATCAAAAGTAAGAGAATTTTTCTTTATTGGAATAACTCTTTTCATGTAATTTTGTAGCTAAAGAATTACAGATATGCTTTTTACTAGCAATTGAAACTCTGAATTGAAGAAAAGTACATTACATTTCACTACTAAAAGAGTCTGTAGGGGCTCTGTTTCAGGATGCTGTAATTTGTGTATTGTGTATTCGACTATGTCTTACTAAATGTGGTGATTAAAACTGAAAAACACTGAATTAGCTCAGAAATAAATGATATTTTGAAAAAACTGCTAATTTCAGCAGTTTCAACTTTGTTGGTGAGTTGGTGAAATTTTTTTTTTTGTTTTTTAACCAAATTTAGATGTGTGGCAGGAATATATGGGGGAAAATCTTTTCAAAATGAAAATTATTAATCAGGGTTGTCCCTAGGACCCAGGGGCCGGGGAATTTCACCAGCTTTAATGACGTTATCCCCTGGCTATTCTGGTATTCCCCTTCAACCCCTTGTTAGGGGAGGAACCCCAGACCCCCTCTACTTTTTAATGTCTCTTGCTATTTCAATTCTTAAGGACAACCCTGTTGATTAAAGGAGGCTTTAACAGATGTATATTCTTCATAAAAAATGCTTTGTACACCACAATGCTTAGTTTGACAAATTGAAATAAGTTAAATAATGAAAAAATCTGAGCATGTTGACCCCTAATATGGTGGCCAATGGGAAATAACTCTTGTTAAATATTGAAAACTGTATGTGTGAGTGGATCAAAGGATCTTACTTTTGATTGAATAATCATGATCAGAATCTCCAGATGAGAATATTTCTAACTTAATATACCAGTATTTATGTAACAATGAGGTTATCATATCAGGAATTGTAATATTCAAGTAATGACCTTTTGTTTTTTAACATCATTTTAGCTCTGACACCATTTTACCAAGTCTCCTGTTTTTGTACCAACGTAAGAAAAAAGTAAGTAGGAAAACACAATTCATGAACTGTAGTAGATAGCAGTAAATTGTATGAATAGTCAAACAATTATTTACATTTGTTGAATTATTTTAATATTTTTATAAACCTCTGTTGACAGCCGGATGATGAGGATGATGAATTAACGTTAATGAAGACTGTGTGTACTGTTTGTGGCCAGCGTCGCTGCCCAAGACACAGGTATAGAAACATTAAAATGAAAATTATATTGATGATTTTGGGAAAGCACTGGTGTAGTACAATATATGTTATGTTTATGATAACAGCAAACTAGATACATGTATAAGTAAACTAGACATAAATATTGCTACAGATTAAACAGGGTTGTCCCTAAGAATTGAAATAGCAGGGGGCTTTAAAGAAGTAGAAGGGGGTTTGGGGTCCTCCCCTAAGAGGGGGTTGAGGGAAAATACCAGAATAAGGGGGGGGGGGGGTTACGTCATAATAGGTGGGGAAATTCCCCGGCCCATGAGTCTTTGGGACAACCCTGCAGATTATGAACAATATTCAGGGATAGCTATTTTCTATTAGTGGTTATCCCATATCAGTAGAATTTATAAATGACTGTAAGGTGATCTACTAGAACTAGGACTTGGATAAAAGCCTTAAAATCAATCCATTGGAAGGATAAAAGCCTTAAAATCAATCCATTGGAAGGATAAAAGCCTTAAAATCAATCCATTTTGGCTTAAAAAGATGATTTAAATTGAATAATCTTGTGACTTTTAGACCAGAGCTGAACATACTAGCCTTTCAACCCTGGACTTACTTGAAAGTCAGACATAAAGTTGATGAGTCTATTGAAGAGGTTTGAATTAGTTTACATTTATAATCTTAGTAGATGAAATTGACTAGTTTTGTTTATTAGCTATCATTTAAAATGTTCATTGAAAGCAAACCCTAATTTTTTTTTCAGTTTGCTAATATTGTTTTAAAGGAATTCCTTTACACCTGGTACAGGTATGTTAGATTGGGTTAATAAATTAATGGTCTTATTCTTTTGTTGGTGATGTGTTGCATTGAAGAGAAGTTTTATGTATGTTCATAAGATAGAATCAGGAGCTTATTTTAGCAAACAATGAATATTATTCAGCAATGTTTCCACAGATTTGTTTGTCCATGAGTTTTCAGCAATACCTTTACTTGTTTTAAGAGCTTTATAACACAATATTAATTTGACACTACACAGGGACCTGAGTACAGATGAGGGCTTCCCTGATGAACTAAAAACCAGCATCCGATTCTTAGCCTCTGTTCTACTCAGAAGATTGAAAAAGGTACTTCCCTTGTAAATGTATTAATTTAGCTGCAATAATGTAGCCCTCTCTGATTCTGGTCTTGGCAAAAACTTGACAAATATTTATTCTTGCCAAACAAAAAAAAAACCCAACATGTCAATGCAATTACAAAACTTTCTGTATAGGTATAGGTCTATAGATGTAGATGTGTAGATATAGGTATACATGTATATTACATGAATGATTACAGGTGGATATTCCAAAACTAGTCAGTGAAAAACTGATAAAAGCAGCTCTTCAACACCTGCATGTTTACTTAGAAGCAAGGAAGCATGGTAAATAAGCTCATATTTTACTGATGCCTGGCTGATGTATGAAGATCTAATGTAAATATGTAGGATGAATTCATCATGGATTGAATATCCTTTTACTTTAAATTATGAGCTATGTGTCAGTCAGGGAGGTTGTATCAAAAGTAATTTGTGTAATGGTGCTTAGAAAGATATAATATGAAAAATTGTGTAGCTACAATCAATTATTCTGATAGATTAATATTGAATCAGAGAACATATTTCCAATTTGACCCCTTGGCTTCATTTGTATAATTTTGTTGATTAGCTCCTCTTGGAGGTGACCTTCAGCAGCTGACCTTGGAGCAGTTGGGACCTAACATGCATGTAGCGATGTTGAGTCGTAAATGTGAGTTGGAGTACCTCCGTCGATTGGTGGAATCTCTGTTTCCCTACATCCTCCCTCCCCAGGCTGTTAAATCTAAGTAGGTGACACAGTTCATCATAGCTGACATACTTTGTTTTTGGTCAGCTGTGAAGAATAGATACTATCTGAGGTACATGTATAGTATACTAGATATGGGTACCATGCAGGGAGTATATATATTTTTTTTTTGTAGAAAATTTCATTTTAAATGCTTATTTTTTTTTTATTAAAAACTTTTATAATTCCTGGGTTAAATACTGAACTAGCTCTTTTACTGGTTTTAACTAAATTAACTACAGGTAAACTTCGATATCTCGACATCGGATATGTCGACAACCTGGGATATGTCGACGTCCTTCCACGGTCCCGGCAGAATTTACTATATAAATGATTTGCAAAAACTCTGATATGTCGACCTCGGTAATGTCGACAACCCGGGTTATCTCGACGTATATTCTCAGTCCCAAGAGCAAAATTTACCTGGTATATGTCGACATCGGCAATAATGAATTTTCTGCTCTACTGAACTTAACTGTTTGTCAGATAGAGTCGCTCGTTACGCACGGACCACTCCGGGTATCTCGACCTCGTCAATTTAAAATTTCACACCTTTCACACCCTTGTTTTGACTGCACGCTGCTTAATTAATTCTATAGACTGTGTTTGAATGTGAATCCCAAGCCCCCTCGGCGTCTTCGAGAAGTTAATTGCTTAATGTTCAGCTTGGGTAATATCATCGCTAAATCTACACGATTCTGCGTAAATGTACAGACGGTTATTTATATCGATACCTAACATAACTTTTAAATTTGAAAAATGTAACTAAATTACAATGAATAACAAACACACTGAATAATTCAAAGTAAGGAATTAAAAGATGTTTTAATGATCTTTTGAAGTTAAAATGTATGCAACAGGAAACAATCCAGTTAAGGACACGACAGAATCAGGCGTAATTCATGCATCTGTAACATCACTACGTTAGTTTAAATACACAAATCTCTTTAAAAAATTAATTCTAATGTACGTAAAAAAAAAAAAAAAAGCATTTAATTTTTTCCGTATATCGGATGTCGACTTTATGCGGTTCGAAGTTTATAGAGCGCATTTCGTATCCTGTTCTGACTAAAAGGCAAGTTACATGCGAATGCTGTGACTTTGTGAATTTAGAAAGATTTCGATAAAAAACATTTATAAACAAGATGTTTAAGATAACTTCTTAGATTTTTAATAAAAATAGAGGGAATTCTGAAATATGTTGAACTACAGTGTATATTGAAGTCATGTACATATACATTGTAATAAGCTTGTCTGTTTTGTATGCAATGAAATCTTGGACGTCAAGTCTCTACTCTGATATCTCGACACCTCGGATATCTCGACATTTTCCGATGGTCCCGTCGAGGTCGAGATAACGAAGTTTACCTGTATTTATATGTAAGGTTTACCATACTATTGTGTGTTTATTATTGTAGATGTACATGTGGTCTGATCAGGGAGATCTTAGCTGGCTCTGTTCTCCTCCCAGCCCTGGATGCTGTAGCCAACCCTGTAAGCTCTCCCTTCAATCTCTATTCTAATGATGTTTACATATTTAAACAGATATTTTGATTTATGGCAGACAGAACTTTTGTGCTTTTATGTATTCCCCTACATACCAGTCCTGTTGTAGGTCATTCCATTAATAAAAAAGTAATAGTTACAGAAATAGTGATGAAGTGTAATAGCTGTTCTGTAGTAATCTCTGTATAGTATCATTTAGCTGAAAAGTCTAATGAGCAGTTTGTAGATGTGAGCTGAAGTACATGTATTATATGTTGATTTTATACTTATAATTAAAGATTATTTTGTAGGATATGGTGAACAATTTGATTCTGATTTTCCTGGATAAAACACCAGTAAGTCACTATGAAGATCTAGTCATCTTGGGAGTCTATTATTATTTATTGATAATTATCAAAGATTATTTAATCTGTGACAATTTGACTTAATTTACAGCAGTCTTATTCAATCTGTGTCAATTTGACCTACTTTACAGAAACCTTATTTAATTTGTGACAATTTGATGTACTTTATAGCTGCCTTATTTAAACTGTGACAATTTGACCTACTTTACAGACACCTTATTTAATCTGTGACAATTTGACCTACTTTACAGACACCTTATATAATTTGTGAGAATTTGACCTACCCTGTGACAAATTGACCTACTTTATAGCAGCCTTATTTAAACTGTGACAAGTTGACCTACTTTATAGCTATCTTATCTGTGACAATTTGACTTACTTTATAGCTACCTTATCTGTGTCAATTTGACCTACTTTATAGCTACCTTATCTGTGTCAATTTGACCTACTTTTCAGCCACCTGCTGCCACAGAGCCACCTTCTCCATACGTACCATTCCTAGAAAACTTTGCCAAACCTCTGACTAAAAATAAATCAGTAAGTGGGTACAGAAAATCTTTTCAATTGTAATAAATGAAAATAGTGATATTCTACATGTATATAGCTACCTATACAGTATAAATGTCTCATACATAGAATTTATTATTTTTTCTCTTTGGTTTTGCAGTGCCTGAGAGTTGAGCTTAAGGACATTCTTTTTAGAAATAGCCCCAAACACCTGTACCCATTCATGCAGTTTCTGAAAAATGAAGGAGCTATAAATGTACTTCAGTTCTCCTTAGCTTGTGGTAAGTTATATGCACTTCACATCTCCTTAGCTTGGGTAAGTTAAATGTACTTCAGTTCTCCTTTGGAAAGTTAAAAATATACTTCAGTTCTCCTTGTCATATGGTAAGTTAAATGTACATAACTTCTCCTTAGCTTGTGTTAAATAAGTAAAACTTAGAAAGTATCAGAAAGATCACACCAGCTTCTTGTTGGAATAGATCAATTGTACAGATTGATCCTTAACCATTCAATGGTCTTGGACAAGTGGAAATCGTAATGATGAAATGTAGACCAATATCTGCAAAATTGGTTTAAAGCCAGCTACTGTATTTTGAAATAAAAGTGCATTTGTTTCTTGGTTGATTATGTACATGTATGCTGTAAGTTAATATCAGTATTATTGAAGTTTACACAGTAATTCCATGATAACTTGTTAGGCTGCCAGACAACAAGACTTCTGTTTGTAAGTATCCCCAGTGTTCAGTATTGACTGAGGATAGCCATTATTCTGTATTACAGAGGATTTTAACACCCGTATCCTGAGTCCAGAGCTGTCCCAGGGAGATCTAGTAGAGCTTCACAACATGGCTAAGGACCTGTACAGAAGTTACTGTGCTAAGGACGCCGTGGACAGAATTAAGTTTGACGAGACCATCGTCAGTGAGCTGGCAGAGGGTAAGCTACTGGATAGTCACTAAAATCTACAAGCTTACTAAGGGTAGGATAAGTCACAAATGTCAAGCTGATCAAGAACAAGGCACCACACACGCAGTACAACACAAAACATCACAAATGTTAACAAGCTGATCAAGGGCAAGGCACCACACATACAGTACACCACAAAACTTCACAAATGTCAAGCTGATCAAGGACAAGGCACCACACATACAGTACAACACAAAACTTTAAAAATGTGAACAAGCTGATCAAGGACAAAGCACCACACATACAGTACAACACAAAACTTTACAAATGTGAACAAGCTGATCAGGGACAAGGCACCACAACTACAATACAACAAAAAACTTCATAAATGTCAACCTGATCAAGGACAAGGCACCAAACATACAGTGCAACACAAAACTGCACAAATGTTAACAAGCTGATCAAGGACAAGGCACCACACATACAGTACAACACAAAACTTCATAAATGTCAGGCTGATCAAGGACAAGGCACCACACATACAGTACAACACAAAACTTCACAAATGTCAAGCTGATCAAGGACAAGGCACCACACATACAGTACAACACTAAACTTCCAAATGTCAGGCTGATCAAGGACAAGGCACCACACATACAGTACAACACAAAACTTTACAAATGCCAAGCTGATCAAGGACAAGGCACCACACATACAGTACAACACTAAACTTCCAAATGTCAGGCTGATCAAGGACAAAGCACTACACATACAGTACAACACAAAACTTCATAAATGTCAAGCTGATCAAGGACAAGGCACCACACATACAGTACAACACTAAACTTCCAAATGTCAGGCTGATCAAGGACAAGGCACCACACACACAGTACAACACTTAACATCCAAATGTCAGGCTGATCAAGGACAAAGCACCACACATACAGTACAACACAAAACTTCATAAATGTCTGGCTGATCAAGGACAAGGCACCACACATACAGTACAACACAAAACTTTACAAGTGTGAACAAGCTGATCAAGGACAAGGCACCACACATACAGTACAACACTAAACTTCCACAAGCTGATCAAGGACAAGGCACCACACATACAGTACAACACTAAACTTCCAAATGTCAAGCTGATCAAGGACAAGGCACCACACACACAGCACAACACTTAACTTCCAAATGTCAGGCTGATCAAGGACAAGGCACCACACATACAGTACAACACAAAACTTCATAAATGTCAGGCTGATCAAGGACAAGGCACCACACATACAGTACAACACAAAACTTTACAAATGTGAACAAGCTGATCAAGGACAAAGCACCACACATACAGTACAATACAAAACTGCACAAATGTCAACATTGCCTTATTGATAGATACATGCAGATGTCTGCAATTTATAAATTTGAAAAGTTCAGAACATCTGCAGTAAGATCATTCTTTATGTTGAAGTTTTAGGATTGTATTTTCTTCTCATAATCATCAGGGAGAAAATATATTTTCCTTCAGTTAACATATATGTACATGTTGCATTCCATCATGTCTATCTCTTCATATGAATTCAGTCATTTCATTTCACATGTTTGTCTTTGTGGATTAATGTTATTATCAACCTTTAGTATAATTACATGTTGTTATATTCAGTAAAGAAAAGTCTCTATATTCTCTTTATATACAAACAGTCAACATAATTGATATTAGCTCCTCTGAAAAATATTGATGGTCTTTAATTTTTACTTTCGACTGACAAAAAGACTTTTCCCACAATATTAATGATTTTAATCCTGATAAGTAGATTGATTTTTGTAATGCAATGCTACTGTCCTGACTTCCAAAAAAACATAAGTTCACAATATGAAAAGCCAGGTAACACAATCATGGCAACTTGAAGATTCTCTAGCACAACAGTCAAAGTGCAGATAATAAATGGGATACAAATGAGTTGTTGAATGTACATGTAAATGAACAAAATCAAATACTGCTCTATTGATTTGTTTCATTGTTCCTATTACAAAACAATTATTGACTGTGTTTTGGGGCAACATTGATTATGTTACCCACCTCAGGCAATATTTCATCCATGGAGGGCAAAGATAATCAGTATTGCCCTCTACCCCAGTCAATATTTGTATAATATCCTGACTTATTACTTGTAGTTGTGGAGGGACCTCCAGACCAGGTTGTGAAGTTGCGGACGTCCACTCCTCTTTTCAAGTAAGAAGAACAGTTTAAACAAATACAAATATCACCAGTCTTAGTCATAAGCAATGGAAGCACAAATTTTCTTACAGATTGATAAGAATTTTATATAGTATGTTTGATGAAGTGCATATTAGACCATGAGTTGTTTCTGGTCTTGTTCCTGGTTGATTGTTACTATTACAGAGCCTATGACCACACATATGATTTGCTGGAGAACACATTTTTGCCTCTCTTCCATCAAAGTGATGATGTAAGTCTGTTAAATTCCTACAAATGATTATAACAGAAATACAGTTGAATTTTGTTATCTCAAACTCTGATATCTCAGGGATATGTTGAAGTGAGATGGTAGTCCCAACTACTTTTTCTTAATGGTTTTTACCCTTGTTATCTCAAGTATCTCAAAATTTTATCTCGGTTTCTCGAGGTTTGACTATTTATTGCATGTATTAAGTACTATACTCTTTATACTTCAGACTTAATTTGTTGTCCCAGTGAAAGCTGTAAAAGCTGTAACAGACATTTATCTTGTATTTCCCAGTCTTAATGTACATTTTTTATTAACAGTACTACACCATGTTGTGTGGGAGCAGAGAACCAACCCAGATCATGAGGGCTATGCCAAAGTAAGTATTCAACTGTTTCCAGTTTACCATGAAACTCCCAAGGTTACCAACAAAGCATTTGTGCATAAAAAGGAATGATAATAAATGTTCACATATATTTATTCGTTTTTGTACCTGACTGTAAATAAACCTCACTTGTTTGATAGAAGTGTTGAAATGTACTGTTATACTGGAAATTTTTCTATAGATTGCATAGTAAATTTCCAGAATAATTTCATATCTCTTCACTTCTTTGAAAAAAATTGCAGATTTATCTGATCAACAAACTTCATTTTCATTTTCAAACTGTGTTTAATATTTGATAAAAAAAAATTGTAATTATTTTTTTACTTTGTGTGTAGTTTGTAATAAATATATATATTTGTTCTTCCATATCTTTTGCTTCATGATATTATTGATATTTTATTATACCTTGAGAATTTCAGTTTCTTTATTTCCCTTTGATTTTACTGTGACATTTAATTTGAGTTATTTCCCTTTGATTTTACTGTGACATTTAATTTGAGTTATTTCCCTTTGATTTTACTGTAACATTTAATTTCAGTTATTTCCCTTTGATTTTACTGTAACATTTAATTTCAGTTATTTCCCTTTGATTTTACTATGACATTTAATTTGAGTTATTTCCCTTTGATTTTACTGTGACATTTAATTTGAGTTATTTCCCTTTGATTTTACTGTAACATTTAATTTCAGTTATTTCCCTTTGATTTTACTTTAACATTTAATTTGAGTTATTTCCCTTTGATTTTACTGTAACATTTAATTTCAGTTATTTCCCTTTGATTTTACTGTAACATTTAATTTCAGTTATTTCCCTTTGATTTTACTTTAACATTTAATTTGAGTTATTTCCCTTTGATTTTACTGTGACATTTAATTTCATTTATTTCCCTTTGATTTTACTGTAACATTTAATTTCAGTTATTTCCCTTTGATTTTACTTTGACATTTAATTTCTCTTTATTTCCCTTTGATTTTACTGTGACATTTAATTTCAGTTATTTCCCTTTGATTTTACTGTGACATTTAATTTCAGTTGTGTTCCTTTGATTTAACTGTGACATTTAATTTCAGTTATTTCCCTTTGATTTTACTGGAACATTTAATTTGAGTTATTTCCCTTTGATTTTACTATGACATTTAATTTGAGTTATTTCCCTTTGATTCTACTATGACATTTAATTTGAGTTATTTCCCTTTGATTTTACTATGACATTTAATTTCAGTTATTTCCCTTTGATTTTACTGTGACATTTAATTTCAGTTATTTCCCTTTGATTTTACTGTGACATTTAATTTCAGTGTGTTACCCCTCTCCAGACCAGTTCTGTATAACAATAGGTACAACTGATGTTGCAAACAAATTCATTTCTGGGAACTTTTTATCTGTAGAAGTTTTGTGAAATGAGTTTACTAGCAGTTAATGGCCGATTATCTGACCAGAGAGCACCTGTCCTTAAATTAGACCTGTGCTGGCTACCATTCAGTTCTCAGACACATATTTTCTTTGCTTTGAGCATGATGAAAATTGCTCAAACTCCAAATTCAAAGCAATTTTTTCATAAAAAATACATGTATTCAGTATATTTCTCATAATTTTTTTTCTTTTTTACATAAAGGGCAAATGTGTGATCATTTCCATAATATAATTTCCACGAATTTAATGGCTGCAATACCAAATCTTGGACACTTCTGATAAAGTGATTTTTTTTTCTATGGTTTCTTTCCAATATGCAGGAATGTATTGTTGGTTTGTTTGAATAAAAGAAACTACTTTGGAATCATCATTGTTCGTGGGGGACCAATGTTCGTGGATTTCATGGGTCACCCGTACCCACGAATTTACATCCCCACGAACGTGTATTTGTAAACATATTAATTCATTAAATCTACCGTATAAACGAGTACCCCACGAAATTAAGTCCCCACGAACAAGTAAAATTTTGCTTGCCCACGAACATTGACCCCCACGAATTAAAATGATTCCACAGTAATATAAAAAGAAAGACACAGCATACTTTTGCAGATATCTATTATACATGCAGTATATTACACATGCAGTAATTATAAGACAAAAATTGTTTGACATAATTAAATATTTTTAGGTTGTAAATATTAATGTAAGCATTTTCAGAACTAATATGACAAAGAAAACTTTTGAAACTTACTGCAAAGGTTTTATTATCCTGAAAAACTACTTTTGAAAGTAATTTGCCCTTTTACGAATGTTAGGGTCAGAGAATTGACAGTCAGTATAGACTTTGACATTTGTGTAAATGACTATTAGGTGTACAGGTAGCTATATGGCCAGTCAGATTTTACGGTCACGTATTCCTGAATTGTATGAATTCTGTATTATCCACTAACATGTTACACTGTTATGGACCGTTAGATTAGAACTAACTTACTTACCTGTATTTACTGTATGTTTCATATCACCCAAATCAGGTGTCCACATGCATGACCCAAATTTGAATATATATATAGAATCATACATACATGTATGTAGACATGATGTAAATTGAATGTTGCTCATATATACTGTTTGTCCCCTTAGCTCTATTGTCCTTTTACCAGAAGAGCTTATGCAATGGTTGAGTGGTCCATCTGTGTGTCTGCCTGTCTGTTCATCTGTAAACATTTTTTGAAAATGCTACTTATACTGAAACAAACTGTACAAATGTACCAATGTTTGAATTAAATAAACAACCAAACATCTGTTAAAAATATAACCAAATACGATATACTGCAGAAGGAAGTATCCGTTATTGGAGCAGTAGAGCCTTTAGGTGCTGCATGTCTGTTGCATTGTGTTGAGTTATTGTTGAACTGCATGAGGTGTAAGAATAAACAGAAAACTGTACATTTATAAAATTAAAAAGCTTTAGTTATTGGGAGTTCTTGTTTATTTGTAAGGTTCATATATAGATATATATATATATATATATATACATCTGTATTTATTTTTTTTTTCTAGAAAAAAGGAAACAATATTCAAATATTTAGTTTATCATAAAAAAATGAATGTAATTGTCCATTTTAATTTTCCTCATGGATCTACCAGTGTATGTTTATGATTTCGGTTTTTGAGTTAACATTTAATTTTCAAGTATTGTGTATTTCAGACAAGAAATAAAATATTCACTGTATGAAGCATTAATTTTTTTAAATTCCTAATTTCCAGACCAGTAGAAAGGAGAGGGTTTGGACTTTCCAACATTGGGACCAAGATAAAGGGTGTATTTAAAAGTGGTGAGTATTAATTAGATTAATACAGAATACCATCTCTTAATAATGGGTTCTGATATGTAGAAAGAGGAAAAGATGTGACTTTTTTAATAATAGTTCAAAAGTAAAGACCTATTCTCACTGTTAAAATTTTATTCTAATTTAACTGTTTTGTAAAATGTATCTTCATTGGCTAATGCACTGATGTTCGAGGCAGCTAAACGAGCATTAATGAGATTGAAAGCTTTTGATTATGACGTCATAATTGAAAGATGCAAAAACACAGGGCTTTGTGACGTGTTTCCATTTGCCAAAACTCCCCAAACTTATTGCTAGGATTTTGTAAACTTGGGTCCCAGTAGCAGGACTCAAGGTTTTTGAGAAGGTTGAGTCCCAGCAAAATTGGATGTATCCCAGAAAAATTATGTTGAGTCCCAAAAAAAGTTTTAGAAGTACATGTACTAATTCTTCCATCCAAATAACAATAAAAACCTGTATTTTAACAGCCATTTCTTTTGTGCAATAAATATAATGTTAAGGTATCCACAGTTTGGAACAAAGTCTCTCCCCAAGTAAATAAACTGTGTCTATTACACAGATTCAGGTGTTAATGACAACCCAGCTGGTTATAGGAGAAATAAGTTCTGTTTCTGAGTCTATTACACAGATTCAGGTGTTAATGACAACCCTGGTTATAGGAGAAATAAGATCTGTTTCTGAGTCTATAACACAGATTCAGGTGTTAATGACAACCCTGGTTATAGGGGAAATAAGATCTGTTTCTGAGTCTATAACACAGATTCAGGTGTTAATGACAACCCTGGTTATAGGAGAAATAAGATCTGTTTCTGAGTCTATAACACAGATTCAGGTGTTAATGACAACCCTGGTTATAGGAGAAATAAGATCTGTTTCTGAGTCTATAACACAGATTCAGGTGTTAATGACAACCCTGGTTATAGGAGAAATAAGATCTGTTTCTGAGTCTATAACACAGATTCAGGTGTTAATGACAACCCTGGTTATAGGAGAAATAAGATCTGTCTCTGAGAGGGGACTTGATTTTGAAGAAGCAGACTGGACTTGCTGACTTGTAGATATATGTATGTCTGATTTGTTGATTTGTTGTAGGAGAAATGAAGTCCCTGCCAGAGACTGGACTTGATTTTGAAGATGCTGACAAAGTTACAATAAGCGTGAGTACTGTAGATCACCTCCTTTTTGTGCCACCCTAATTTTGTGAGAAAGTTACTTGGTATTTATAAACAATGAAAAAATTACATAAAATTTACTGATTGTTGTATATAATTTTTAATGATAGAAAAAATATGTGAGAGTGAAACTTTTATGAGCAGACAGTTAGGTGTAATTATTCTTGCAAATTTAGAGGTTTACAACATCTCATGGTACATGCCAAGCACAGTCTGTTCCTATAAAGAAAAAAAAAGTACTTAAGTCAGTCTTTGTTTAACAACAAACCTTAAGAAATTAAAAGAAAATACATGTAATAATGTTTTCAATATGGTAATCCTCACTAGATTTCAGAGGATTAAAAATACATTTAAAAATGATGAGGAGTTGTTGTTTATGTTCCGTAGTCCTGTAATTCCTTGGATGATGAGATTTCTGATTCTGCCGTCGGAGTCGATGAGTTGCCAGACTTCACTGAGATGACCATTCCTGATCTTAGTACGTGGAGGGTGTCCATCCCACGAATTGGGGCTAGGCCTGACCCTGATAACTTTAAGAAGCAGTTTTTTGTATTCATCATCGATGTCCGTAGGGTGGACTTATCTGACGAAAATCTCGGAGATCGCTCTAAAAAAGCTAACTGGACAGTTGCTAGGTATAAATACATGTATATTGAATTCCCATAGAATATAGAGAATTGTGAATAAGTAGGTCAGTGCTGGAATTGCTGCTTTTCTTGGTGTCATAATCCTATTTATGATTTTGTGTTGCAGAAGGTATAATGAATTCTACGTACTTGAAAACAAGCTAGCAGAGTTTCATGGTATGTACCAATGTAAAAAAAAAACCAACATCTGGTTGTTTTCTCTTATATTAGCTGAAATTTATCATGAAAATGGACAATTTAAAATTCATAGTTTTGTCATATAATTTTCAGAGTGGAGCAGACAATTTTATCTGACATGAACAATATTTAAAACATGCATGTTTTTTTTTTATTCTGATAACATAATTACACATGTAGGTGAACATAAGAAAAAAAATAGTGACTATGCATAAATATTGTGTAAGATAAAAATTGTGGGAGACAAGTAAGATAGAAATTGTGCCAGTGATAATTTTCCAGGAGGTGAATTATTTTACGTGGTGTTTTTTATTGATATAGAGGGCCTTCTGCAGGAATGCAAACTTCCTCCTAAAAAAGTAATCGGAACGAGTAAGCACGAGTTCATTGAGAGCAAGCGAGAACAATTTGAGGCTTATCTACAGGTGACAATAAAAATAGGAATATTTTTTAAAAAAAGAAATCATTTAATACCTGTTAATTTTTTTTCCACATTTGCAAGGTTCCAATTAAGTAATAAATGTTCCCCTTTTAAATTTTAATCTCATTATCTTATCATCATTACAGTAGATATGAATTTCTTAAGTACATGTACACTGTATATGTGTGATTTGGACTGAGAATAACTTAAATGTTTCTTTATAGAAATTGTTAACTAAACCTTACTTGACTGGAAGTCAACTTCTCTATAACTTCCTGTCAACAGACGATGAATTTTCTGCAGGGTTTTTATCGGACATTAAACTAGGTATACTTAATATTATTAATTGTTTTGTAATCATTTTATTTAATATTTACACGTACATGTATATGTGTCTATAAATTTTTAAAAAAAATCTTATTGCAATCAAACAAATGAAGGATTTCACTTGGAAATCATTCTGATACATGTACATTGAACATGGATATCACTCTTTTTTTTATAGCTCTACTGGTCAGAGACCAGAAGAGCTTATGCAATAGTAAGTTGTCCGTCCATCTGTCTGTCTGTCTGTAAACAATATTTCAAAATGCTACTCCTCCTACAGTTTTGGTCTGATTTCAATATAAATTGGCAACAAGTACACTACACTAAAATACATAGTTCTGTGTATCGATTTTTGATTTCGATGAACGATGTTGCCATGGTTACTAAAAATAGAAATTTTTGTGAAATACTTTCAAAATGCAACTCCTCCTACAGTTTTGGTCTGATTTCAATATAACTTGGGACACAAGTAGATTACACTGAAGTACATAATTCTGTATATCCATTTTTTGATTTTGGATAAGTGTTGCCATGGTTACAAAAAAGCTGAAATTTTTTGGACATACTTTCAAAACATTACTTGTCACCCACTTGGCGCAGTGGTAGAATGTTTGCTCTCAGAGTAAGGAGTTGATCCTTATGTCGTGGGTTCGAATCCCACTGTGGGACATGGAGACCGGTCCTTCGGATGAGACCGTATAAACCAAGGTCCCATGTCACAGTAGGTGCTGGCATGAAAAAGATCTCTTACTGCTCAATGGCCCTGATTGCCGAGCATAGGTCAAAATTTGCAGCTCTCCACCTGCAAGTGGTGGCGTCTCCATATGAGTGGAAAATTCTTGAGAGGGACGTTAAACAACAAACAAAATATTACTTCACCTACAGTTTTGGCCTGATTTTAATATAACATGGCGTGCAAGTAGACTACACTGAGATACATAATAGTCTTTATTTTTTTTTGATTTTGATGAATGATGTTGCCATGGTAACTAGAATCAAAATTTCTCTAAAATTCTTTTAAAAGGCTACTCTTTCTACAGTTTTAGTCTGATTGCAATTCATCTTGCAACAAAAAGAGAGTAAAACAAGGATTATTATTTATTTATTGCTGTTGCAAAGTTTCAAGTCGAAGTGCTACTTTTCTCTTTCCTTGTTATAAGTACAAACCAGTAGAGCTACAGTCTCGACAGAGACCTCTGGTTACATTTGAAATGTTTTTTACAGGGAAAATGTTCAAGTCAGGAGCTATGAAGCTAGTCAAAGAGGTTTGTTTGTAACCTGAAGTTTTGCACATTTTGAAGTATCAGTTTTGAGATTGTTAAAATGTTTATTTTTCCATACAGAGAGGTCAGCATTTAGACATGTATCTGAATTCCTTTGAGCAGTCAACTATAGCCCCACCTCCTAAACCCAGGTACTGTCTAATCAGTTGTAAAACAAATCATCAAAATCTCTCAACAAATACAATTCTTGGGTAGAAGTAATGTATCTGAATGCTTCAGTTTAACCAATGTTTGTTCAGTAATCTATGCAGCAAATTTTGTGATCATACTTTTCAAAGAAAAAATAATTTTTTCTTTTATAACCACTTCAAGAAAAAAACCACATGAGAATAAAGTAATTTACCATCATCAGACATAATTCAGAGTATTGATCTGCTGTTTTATTATATACCCAACTGTTTGCCAGTTTTACTGTTGAATTGATGCAATCGTGACGGTGTGATCTGACTTTCCGGATTACCACACTGTGGTTTTCTGAATCAATATCACCCCTCTCTGAAACTGATGACATAGTACACAGATAAATGACGTTTTCATTCTCGCGTATCAAAAGTTCCTTGACAAAATGATTTGTTAAATGGATAAAAGTTGTGCAATTGATCCCAAAAGTTTTCTTTTATTATAGTTTGCTACTTTAGAGGGGTATATAATAAATTTATCATGCCATATCATGTCTCATTGAAGACGCCAATCATCAGATCAAACTTGATGCTCTGCGTCTTGTTTGATCTGATGATACGCGCCTGTCAACTCGACGTGATATGGTTCTTTAGATCAATTTACTGTTATAATAATATATACTGTGTATTTATTCACTTCAGTAAGCCAGAGAGGAGGGGATCGGATACTTCTCTGAAGTCCACCTCCAGCGAGAAGCTGTGTGCGGGCTTGTATGAAAACAACGCCAATTACTCAAACGACAGTATTTGTTCCAATCTGTCTCGGAGCTCGGACGGACAAGAGTGGTATCCCATGGCAACCTCAGACATGGACTCCTACAGAGGACAAGAAATAGAGGGCCCGTTTGATGTCATAGTTTACATCTGTAGGTCCAATTTTGTTCAATTTGACGTCATACTTTACATCTGTAGATCCAAATGTGTTAAAAAAAAGGTTTTATCATGATCAATTATTGTACCCATATTTTAATGTTACATGTGTATCTCTTCAGTGATTTTCAGAATATTGTTATCTCTGATTATGAAGCAGTAAAGTGTATTTTTCTTAGTTTGGAAAAAAAGTAAATGTATTAAATATAATGTGAAGAACAAGTCATTTACATGAATATTCATGAGTAGTAAGAACTTAAAGGGTTTTTTAGCTCACCTCAACAAAGTTGGGGGAACTTATGTAATACCCTTGGTGTCCCAGGTTAAGGGAGCTGCAATTTCAGCTAAAGAATGACCAGGTTAATGTTTTTGGAGCAGGTAAAAGTTTTTGGAGCAGGTCTCATTTCCAAGTAACCATAGGCCCTATATTGATCAAACTTGCATGGATGATACATCTAAGGATGCACACTACTGGACTTGCTTCGGATGCTGGATCTGACCTACATTTTCTGGTTGAGTGACCAGGTTAAAGTTTTTGGAGCAGGTTTCATTTCCAAATAACTTTAAGCCATATGTTGACCAAACTTGCAAGGATGATACATCTAAAGATGCACACTCGCAGGCTTGCTTTGGATGCTATATCTGACCTACATTTTCCAGATGAGTGACCAAGTTAAACTATAAGGGCTATCTGAACCAAACTTGCATGGATGATGCATCATCATTTTCCTTCTCTTGACAAAGAGTGCACTTGTGAAAATATAAAAAAAATACTGTCCCACTCATGAAATAAATTTCATTTCCAAATAAAATACATTGAATATCCTTTATTTACAGTACATGTATTTGCAAAGATAAAATATATCAGCAATTGCTGTGCACATTATTTCACTCAAACCTCTCAATTTTATGAACATTTTTAGCTCGTTATGTGTATGGTGTGCCTGATTGGTTCCATCACCTGCTGATGACGGGGAGAATTCTCTTTAAATCCACCTTGGAACATTACTTACAGCTATTTATAGAACAAAAAGTAGAACAGGTCACTCAGGAACACAGAGTTGTGTCCCTTGTCCATTTACTCAGGGGTGAGTTCACACAGGCTTAACATTAGAGTGTATTAAATTCTGAGCATACAAGTATATGATTGTAGAGAAATGTGTTACACTTGTAACTGTGGTTTTTATTTTTCAGATGTGTTGTTTTTTGACAAAGATCCTCCCAGGTAATGACAAAAAAAGGGAGAGAAAGTATTAGGCCATCTTCAAAAAATTATCTATTTGCCCTCTCTCGACTGACTGGCTAAAAATGGTCCAACTTGAAACTTTTTCAAACCTCTAGGAAACTTTTATTTTTTTTTTATTCATTCCGGTATTTTCTCGTCCAGTCAACATCTATTTTTTTTTTTACATCTTCAATTTTGATAAATTTTGAAAACTTGGCACTGGGAAAAAAATTTCACTGCTTACCTACCAACCCAATTTTTTTTATCTTGAGTCGGAAGAGGGCAAACTAACATTTTTTTAAAGATGGTCTTAAATTGACTGTATTTTTGTCTTCTCTTTCACAAAGTGTGACATTTTTTTTTAACCCAAATTCTCATTTTTTATTTCTCGTACAATTGTATTTGGAGCAAACAAAAACTTTTACTCTATGTTTATTACACATGGAAAGTTCACCATGATCCCACATAACCTTGACCCTTAACCTTCAAATTATCAGTCCTGATCTCTTGAGTCAAATTACATTTTTTAGACAAGAAAACCAGTATTGTATTTTTACCTTCGCTTTTGATCCTTAGTATGTGGGTGTATTTTTTAAGATGAAAATGAATTTGGAGTAAAAAATTCTGTTTTAGTGAGCATGCCTTTCTGTAAAATTTTATCACAGGAATATGAAATTTCCCATGTGAGTGAATCTTCATATTATATCCTCCTTTATTATATGATTGAATAATTCCCATCTTTCTGATTGGCTGAGATCCAACAATATTAGAAAAATACTATGTTATATTGACTTGCACTTGATCTTCCAGGTCAATATAAGAAATTATTTATTCTACATTGGACCAAAAATAGATAGGGAAATTCCAAATTGATGAAAATAGTTTTGGAAAGGTATTTCACTGGCACCTGACTTCCACTCATATGAACATAACAATAAGGCACATAGATTTTTGGGTGAGGGGTCAGGTGCCCATCTCCCCACCTTTTGAGTATGTTAAGTTTTAATTTAAATTTTGAGGATAAAAAATTTCAATGAAAGCCCCCCTTCCCTCGAAAAGTTTATGGACCTTTACATCCCACCAAATAAAATTTTGATTTGGGAGATTTCTTTTCCTTTTTTTAGCTCACCTGAGCCGAAGGCTCAAGTGAGCTTTTCTGATCACATTTTGTCCGGCGTCCGTCTGTCTGTCCATCTGTCTGTCCGTCTGTCTGTAAACTTTTCACATTTTTGACTTCTTCTCAAGAACCACTGTGCCAAATTCAATCAAACTTGCCACAAAGTATCCTTGGGTGAAGGGGATTCAAGTTTGTTCAAATGAAGGGCCACGCCCTCTTTCAAGGGGAGATAATAAGGAATTAGTGAAAAAATAATGGCATCATTTAAAAATCTTCTTCTCAAGAACCACTGGGCCAGGAAAGATGAAACTTATGTGGAAACATACTCAGGTAGTGTAGATTCAAATTTGTTCAAATCATGACCCCCGGGGGTAGGGTGGGGCCACGATGGGGGATCAAAGTTTTACATAGAAATATATAGGAGAATATCTTTAAAAATCTTCTTCTTAAGAACAGCAAAGCCATGATTGGTCATATTTATATGAAAGCATCCTCAGGTAGTGTAGATTCAAGTTTGTTTAAATCATGATCCCCGGGGGTAGAGTGGGTCCACAATGGGGGATCAAAGTTTTACATAGAAATATATAGGAGAATATCTTTAAAAATCTTCTTCTTAAGAACAGGAAAGCCATGATTGGTCATATTTATATGGAAGCATCCTCAGGTAGTGTAGATTAAAATTTGTTCAAATCATAACCCCTGGGGATAGGGTGGGGCCACAATGGGGGATCAAAGTTTTACATAGAAATATATAGGAAAATATCTTTAAAAATCTTCTTCTTAAGAACAGTAAAGCCATGATTGGTCATATTTATATGAAAGCATCCTCAGGTAGTGTAGATTCAAGTTTGTTCAAATCATGACCCCTGGGGGTATGGTTGGGCCACAATGGGGGATCAAAGTTTTACAAAGAAATATATATAGGAGAATATCTTTAAAAATCTTCTTCTCAAGATCAGGAAAGCCATGATTGGTCATATTTATATGAAAGCATCCTCAGGTAGTGTTGATTCAAGTTTGTTCAAATCATAACCCCCAGGGGGTATGGTCGGGCCACAATGGGGGATCAAAGTTTTACATAGAAATATATAGGAAAATATCTTTAATAATCTTCTTCTTAAGAACAGCAAAGCCATGATTGGTCATATTTATATGGAAGCATCCTCAGGTAGTGTAGATTCAAGTTTGTTCAAATCATGACCCCCAGGGGTAGGGTGAGGTCACAATGGGTGATTAATGTTTACAGAGGAATATATAGGAAAAAATCTTTTTCTCAAGAACAGAAAAGCTATGATTAGTCAAATTGATTATTGATATGGAGGCATCCTTGGGTAGTGTAGAATGAAATTTGTTCAAATGAGGGCCCACGGGGGTAGGGTGGGGGCCACAATGGGGGATCAAATTTTTACAAATGAAAATATGGGAAAAATCTTCTGCTTTTAAAATTCTTTTTCTCAAGAACAGAAAAGCTATGATTAGTCAAATTGATTATTGATATGGAGGCATCCTTGGGTAGTGTAGAATGAAATTTGTTCAAATGAGGGCCCACGGGGGTAGGGTGGGGGCCACAATAGGGGATCAAATTTATACAAATGAAAATATGGGAAAAAATCTTCTGCTTTTAAAATTCAACACCCCCCCCCCCCCCCCCCCTGGTAAACTGTTCAATACTGAACTTATTTGTGCTTTTTTTCCTAGCCAATATGCTCAGATGAGCGATGTGGCCCATGGGCCTCTTGTTTGGGAGGGGGGGGGAGGGGGGGGGGGCAAGTCAAAGATTTGTTTTCAGGTAAGTTGTCAAATTTTTTTTTTTCCTTTTAATGCCCCCTCTTTCAAAATCAATCCCATATATGTGCCTGACATTTATATTTTCTACATTGCACCTAAACTAGAATTAAAATTCCAAAATAATATGACTGTTTTTTTTTAAGCCTGTTTCTCTCATTATTTTTGGCTAGTACTTGAGTAGTTGTGAACAAGTAAGATGGCACGGATTGCTTAATGAGTGTGTGTCATTTAATCATTGAATCATATAATAAAACAATTATTGCTGGTTTTTGAGGTCAATACGATGATTTAGCCACCTTTGAATAACAATATTCACCTCGCTCTTCGGGCTCAGTGAATATTGTACTCCTCAGGTGTCTAAATCATCATATTGACCTCAAAAACCAGCAATAATTGTATAGTATATTAATCCAATATGACCTTGACCTTTGACATCTAATCAAATTCTTTTTAGGGTGGTAATAATAAAACTTGTGGGGGCAAGAACTTTCTGTCTTTTGATGTAAGTTTACAATAATTGGCAATATGGGTGTCAACACAAAAGAACACATATACTCACATTATTATTATTTTTTTGACCTTTGGGTTCATTTAAAGGGGAGATTCCAATCAGTATTGTTTTATTGCATTATATCAACATTTCTTGTGAAATCTTTGTTACAGGACAGACGAACAGAAGAGTGAGAGATACCGTACATGTCTTCAGGGTTGTCTGGATTTCTTACCAAGTAAGTATTACCATACATGTCTTCAGGGATGTCTGGATTTCTTACCAAGTAAGTATTACTGTACATGTCTTTAGGGATGTGTGGATTTCTTACCAAGTAAGTATTACTAAACATGTCTTCAGGGATGTCTGGATTTCTTACCAAGTAAGTATTACCATACATGTCTTCAGGGATGTCTGGATTTCTTACCAAGTAAGTATTACTGTACATGTCTTTAGGGATGTGTGGATTTCTTACCAAGTAAGTATTACTAAACATGTCTTCAGGGATGTCTGGATTTCTTACCAAGTAAGTATTGTATTTTGCAATTTGGAATTTTGTTCCCATTGGTTAAAAGAGGTGGTTCAAAAATAAGCCTTATCCTATTGTTTTAATGAAAGCTTAGTGTGTCTGCGTGATCCTTTTGTGTGATGTTTCTGAATTACTTTAAGGGCCTCTATACTTTAAAGCAATATGTATTTTTGGACAACAAGAAAATTATTTTGTTTAGAGATGTAATTATTGAGCTTATCTATTTCATTTTCAATATAGGGTACCTTGAGCATTTACCATCAAGAAAAATGTTCAAAGACAACTAATTATTGATGTACAGAAATCACTGTTGTTTACCCAAGTGGGGAAGATGCATGCAGATTCAGTGTTCAATTACTTAGTCTATTAAAATGTCAAGAATGCTTGAAATATTTACAAATTTAGTAATACACAGTAAATTTCAATTTATTTTATTTCTGATTGAAGGGCAGATCACTCCTACTGCATAAAAATGCCACAGAGTCGGAACTCTTTAGTGTCACAGAGTCAGAACTCTTTAGTGTCACAGAGTCAGAACTCTTTAGTGTCAGAGTTGGAACTCTTTAGTGTCACAGAGTTGGAACTCTTTAGTGTCACAGAGTCGGAACTCTTTAGTGTCACAGAGTCGGAACTCTTTAGTGTCACAGAGTCGGAACTCTTTAGTGTCACAGAGTCAGAACTCTTTAGTGTCACAGAGTCGGAACTCTTTAGTGTCACAGAGTTGGAACTCTTTAGTGTCACAGAGTTGGAACTCTTTAGTGTCACAGAGTCAGAACTCTTTATTGTGCAATGTGTAAAGGAATCTTTGGAACAAGAGAGAAAACTTTTCTTAGTGAAATTTTTCTGATCCCAGTGTAAATTATGTAGATTCCAATCAGTCAAGTAATATCTTAAATTCTAATCCCAGTTCCTGTAAATTATGTAGATTCCAATCAGTCAAGTAATATCTTAAATTCTAATCCCAGTTCCTGTAAATTATGTAGATTCCAATCAGTCAAGTAATATCTTAAATTCTAATCCCAATTCCTGTAAATTATGTAGATTCCAATCAGTCAAGTAATATCTTATATTCTAATCCCAATTCCTGTAAATTATGTAGATTCCAATCAGTCATGTAATACCTTATATTCTAATCCCAATTCCTGTAAATTATGTAGATTCCAATCAGTCATAATATCTTACATTCTAATCCCAGTTCCAGTAAATTATATAGATTCCAATCAGTCATGTAATATCTTATATTCTAATCCCAATTCCTGTAAATTATATAGATTCCAATCAGTCAAGTAATATCTTATATTCTAATCCCAATTCCTGTAAATTATATAGATTCCAATCAGTCATGTAAAATCTTATATTCTAATCCCAATTCCTGTAAATTATATGGATTCCAATCAGTCAAGCAGTATCTTATATTCTAATCCCAATTCCTGTAAATTATGTAGATTCCAATCAGTCAAGCAGTATCTTATATTCTAATCCCAATTCCTGTAAATTATGTAGATTCCAATCAGTCATGTAATATCTTATATTCTAATCTCAATTCCTGTAAATTATGTAGATTCTAGTCAGTCAATCAATATTTTATTTTTGTTGTTCTAGGTAGTTTTGTCTCAGTGGTGGGCAGAAGGAACCATGAACAAGGGACAAAACTCTTGTTAGAAGTTCTGCAGCAACCAAAACTTAACAAACAGGTACATGTATACATTATATAAACTTTGCTATAATTAAATGTACATGTAATAGGACCTTTTGGTGCTACATCAGCTGTACATTTATTAAGTGCTGTTTAAACAACATGTAATAGGAAATGTACTACTGTGCTTTCTTTGTCATGCACAAGAACTGTGCTTTATTAGATGTACATGTAAAAGGAACTTTGTTCAATATCAATAATGAAATTAGGTATTGTCCCACAATAGGATTTCAATAATTTATTTTAATTTTTCAAACAAATTTAAAATTAAGTTTATTTCTTTATTTTTCAGTTATCCTACGTGTTTTTGGACATTCTTGTACAGGAATTATTCCCCGAGCTGAGAGGATAGGCAGCAATTGTTACAATGGTTATGACCTCAATGTTAAGCAGTCATTGTTACAATGGTTATGACCTCAATGTTAAGCAGCCATTGTTACTATGGTTATGACCTTAATGTTTCTGTATACTTTTTATAGTATTAGTTGCCACCAATTATTGTTCTACAAAAGCTCACATAACTTCACACAATATGTGATAATTAGATTTTACTTGTAAATCTATTGATGTCATTGCTGCCCAGTTCTCTCCTATGATACAGGTTACATGTAACATTTCAATATTAGAAATTCAGTTACGGAATTGAAGAGCTGTAAACTACATGTTATTTAATTTTTTTGATAGGCTGAATTTGTGTTTAAGTTCAGAGAAATAAAAATTTGGTCTTCCCTTGTCCACTTAAAATGTCTGTGAAAAGTTTGTAATATAGTTTTAGATTATTGCTGATGTATATAGCAATGATTTTTAATGAAATTGCTTACTAATAGTACTGACATTTTTTTTTTAAATTAAGATTTGAAATTTGAATGTTACGTAAAGCCCAGACATGTGTATAATAAAATACCAATTATTCTAATTATGAACTAAACTGATAAGATGTAGTAGATCATGGTAGAAATTGTCACAATGAATTTGTTTTATCACAACACTATTATGTTTAATGTTAGTGAGTATCCTTATCTTCTAACAATGTTAACAGATGAATTGAAATGGCAGTGTATATGTTACTCATGTATGATATCAATAGTCTCTGTGCCAACAAAGTTCTCTGTCACAAATCTACATCAATACAGTTCTGATCATGTGTAGCTTAAGCATTGATTGAATTGTTTCCAAATTAAAGAATTGATAAGGATGTCCCTATTTAAATCTCACCATACAACTTGATGAGATTTTTGTATTTATATAAAGTCATTGGATTTTTTTTTATATTTTGTCCTACTTGTATGTATTGTTTCTCAGAGGCATTTAAATTTATGATGTATAAATTTGCACATAGTTCCTAGTAACTAGAATTATTTTGATTTATTGCGAACTGTGATAAACATTGATGTTACTACATTATAATACCTACCAATTCTTATTTCATTGTGTAGAGTGTCAGATGAATCTGAGCTCATTAACAGAATTGACAAGATGAGCTCGTTAACAGATTGAATTGATGAGGTGATAAGCTCGAGATTTTGTTGACATAATTTATTTGTTCAGGGTTTTCAGTCACAGCTTCTTTCATACACATTACTTTCATTCAAATATTAAAACTAAATGCATGTACATGTATTGTTTATGCTTGATATTAAAGAATTATGTATTACTATTTTCACTAAGAAATAATATCATTGATTTAGAATACAGAAACAAAATAACCTTTTAAAACTTCTAAATGGATGTGAAACAATATCTACATTTATTAATTCTGACTCTCCCCCTGTAGTAATCTATAATTTGATAGGCTTAGTTCATAATGTATCACACAACATTGTTGAAAATGAAGTTTTATTAATTTATTGCAGTATAATGTTGACTTTGTTTTGTTGAGTTGCATAATCAAACTGTACATGTGCAATACTGTTGTCTGTGATAATAAATATTTGACACCTTATATTCTTTACAATCTTTAAAATCATCTGAAGTCATTTCTGGGGTTTGAGATTTTTTTTTATATGACAGCATTCAGTGTTTTCATTTTTGTCCCCTACCTTCAGGAAAGTAAGGGGACATTAAATCATTCATCTATCTGTCAGTCCATCACAAAAACTCTAACCTTGGTCATAACTTTTGAATAGAATTGGTAGTGTTTTCATATTTCACACGTACATTTCCTGTGACAAGGTCTTTTCAAATATACATGTACCATGATTTTGGACCCAATGCCCATAAAGTTTGACCTACTTTAAAAAAACAAAAACAAAATTGCTGATAACTTTGGAGTGAGAGAAGTGAGGACGTTCATATTTGACGTGTGCATTACCTCTGACACCTTTCCAAATATATATGATTTTTGACCTGGTGACCTTGACATTTGCCTCCTTTTCAAAAATTTTAACATTGGCGATAACTTTTGAATGAGTGAAGATTAAGGAGTTCATATTTGATGTGTTATACCTGTGACGAGACCTTTCCAACTGAGATCTCCCTGACCTTGATATTTGACCTATATTACTCTCAAAAATTTTTAACATTGTTAATAACTTTCGAATTAGAGAAGATGGGGCTTTCATATTTCACTTGTACATTGACAATACCTTTCAGAGAAAGCAATCATTTTTGACTTCGTGACCTTTAACTAGAAGTTTGACCTACTTATCTAAAATTTTTAACTTCATCTGAAACTTTTGCTCCAGAAGAGACAGGGATTTCAATAATTTTTTCACATGTTCATTACTTGTGACAAGACCTTTATGCAATATTTATGATAGATCCTATTGGGACATGAAAAGAGCTATACGCAGTGTATGCATCTTTTTGCCCCCACAAAAGTCAAAGTTAGAGAATTTCTTGAAATGTTCTGAATTGTAAATATTGTATAAAAAATCTTAATTAACAAAAAATATTACAGTTTCCAAGCAGATTATTGACAGTTTTTGTTTCTATGACGTTACAGACTATTTGGATTTTGTGTTATTTTTGAGAAAGGGGACAAATTTGACAAAATTTGTTCAATTTTTACTGTAAAACTTATAGAGCCCAGACCTGCTCCATAACAATATTCACATATTTCATTGATATTATCATTCTACACATTATATCAAAGGATTGAGTTGGAGCAGATCTGCGATCTGTGACTTTTATTCAAAATATCGATGTAATATGCACCTTTTTCTCTATAAATGATGGAAATTTTGAATTTATGTCATTTTTCTGACGTCATATCTAACATATGGCTGATGAAAATATCTAATGCTTTGAAGTCTGCAGATTACCCGTTTTAGAAGATAATAACGTTTCTCCGTCAAAGTTTGATTTTGGGGCCAAATATTGCATGGTCATTACCAAATATAATCCTTTTATGATTCTGCTACACACACACACACACACACACACACACACACACACACACATATATATATATATATATATATATATAAAGCACATATTACAACAACTCTTAAACTAACATAACTGCCCTAAGTGAAGAAATATTAATATACAAAGCACAAAGAAATTCACTTTTTATGTACTGCTAGGAGACAGATTCCGTAGGTCGAGAGTTCAACCCCGGGCTGGGGCGGAAGTGGGTATCCTTATAAAAAGTGAATTTCTTTGTGCTTTGTATATTAATATTTCTTCACTTAGGGCAGTTATGTTAGTTTAAGAGTTGTTGTAATATGTGCTTTATAAATAAAAAAAATAATTTCATTACAACGTGTATTGGTAACGATCCTCTAATAAAACTAATGTCCAAATAACTGTATCTCACTTCCATTCTCAATGACCGTGTAGTGTAGGACAGCGCCGCGAGAATTCCATCGGCATCGAAAGCAAGTTTTTGACTTGCCTAGATAGCCGAGCGGTCTAGCGCGCTGTTCCTGTACTGCTAGGAGACAGATTCCGTAGGTCGAGAGTTCAACCCCGGGCTGGGGCGGAAGTGGGTATCCTTATAAAAAGTGAATTTCTTTGTGCTTTATATATATATATATATATATATATATATACACACACACACACAGATACATGAACTTCTCTAGCTAAGGGTTGATATGTGTAACAAAACTAAGTGTTCCCGTGTACAGGATACCAATCATGGAAAATCACTATGAACTGCTGATAGCCATCCAATAATCTATAAGATACATTGTAGAGAAAAAAATTTGGTTTTTTTTAAATCTAAAAAGGACTTATGTAATAAGTTAGCCTATTTGGACCAAGGCTATTGGCCTGGGTAGCTTAGTGGTTCGAGGACCTCACTAATAATGCAGTGGTCCTGGGTTCAATTCCCATTCAAACCATAAATTTCTTTCCTGTTTAACAAAATTGATTCCCCCTTTCCCCCAAGATGTTTTGTGCCAACTTTGGTTGAGATTGGCCATGTGGTTCTAGAGAAGTGAAATGTAAAACTGGCAGGTACTGGATGATCAGAAAACCTCACTTGAGCAATTATAACCCAGATGATCTTAAAGGACAAAGCTCTGATTTCTCCAATTGATATTAAGCACTTTTTTATAGTGCTCAATAAATTGTTAAAAACATATTCAAATGATAAACCATATGCAGTCAAACCTTGTTATCTCGAACTCAATGGGACCGAGAAAAAACTTCGAGATATCCAAGGGTTCCAGATATTAAGGGTAAAATACTGTAAACCAACTATTATTCGTGTCAACTTTTATTCGCGATTCGTTAGTTTGAAATCAATACGCGACGATTAATTTTCGTGACTAAGGAAACATTCTCTACAAAAACAAAGCAAAATAAATCGTTTGCGGCGATTAATATTCGCGAGTTAAAGTAGGTCGCGAAACTCGCGAATATTTCTTGCACGAGAATAAAAGTTGGTTTACAGTACTTAATATGTGGTTAGGACTTCCCAATCACTTCGACATATCCATGGTATTCGAGATACCTGTGTTCGAGACACCGAAGTCTGTATGTAAATGCAGCATCCTTAAGTTAAGGAGTTTGTTTTTATGCATAAAAACTTAAGTTGAGCTTTGTGGCAAAAGGGCATCTTGACAGATACAAGTTTAAATAAGTTCTAAAAGCTTAACCTTTGTTGATTGAACCATTTCATCAACAGCTGATTTCCCTTCACTGGTGATCTTCACAACAAACACCATACAAGTTTATATGAATGACATTTTAATGTTTGAAAAACTGTCTACATAGAACCTCATTCAGTCTTCAATAAACAACATTTTGTAGAAAATTTATAACCAATCACTCCATCGATTCTAGTTCACAATAAATAGATAGGAAGCGACACGTGTCCTAGTTAACACGTAGTCCCGGAATCAATGGCACATTCTTAGACGTGACCTACTTTTACAATGTCTCAGCAGTCAACAATATAAAATGTATCAAAAATAGAAGCTCCTCCTTTGTTTCTTCCCCTTATAACAAAATTGAAAATCTTTTAAGATTTTCCTCTGAAAGCCCTCCCCCGTTTTACAGATCTACTTTAGTTTAATTATCCCGTGAAAACATTCTGTTGATATATACCAGTTAAAATGGAGTCTGTGTAACAATTAACTTTTAACAAAAACTTTCAAATATCAATTTCTCATATATATATTTCATATCACTAATTCTTTTAAGGAAAGGAGAAGTAAACATATTATAATGAAGCCACATTGTTTTGTCAAGAATTCACACATTCCTCTCTTGTTCAATAAACTACAAAAAAAGTCTAAATATATCAGTGCTTGTATTGCACGAGTAGAACTTCAGAGCAGTCAAAGGTCAAGGTCATGTCTCCTTGACAACAGAAATATATATATATAATAACAGTATGTATATAATCCTTCTACATCAAATGATATGCTCTTTGTCATTCATTAAGTACAGAATGAAGAACTATTTACAACAATGTAACATATGGATGGAGGCTTGTCATAAATGAAACCATTACATGACCTATTTACAATATGTAGACTTAGATATATATAAGACATGTATATAATATATAGAGAACTATTAAGTCTTTGTTATAAGTGTAGCCAAAATGACATCCGTATTAAATACATGTATAAGAAAAAAAACTGTAAGTTTCTTGGAAAAAAAATGATGACAAAAATATAAATTGTCAACAACCACACATTGTACATGTCATGTCTTGCAGGGCATTATAATCTTGTTCGATGTTCAATTGATGGCTTAAAAATGTTTAAATACACATCCAATGTAGCAAAATAATTCAATAGTGTCATAATATCACTGACAGACGTAAACATAAATTTGTGTGACATAAAAATGAAAGACATTCCAAAATTCCAGGAAAATAAATAGATCTGGCTAACTTAAAATCCAGACCATGTGATGTTTAATTTGGTATTGGAGAAAATGTAGGTCATCCTTTGGTAAAACAAAACTCTAAAGCTACTAACATTTCTATGCAAGGGAAACAACTCTGAGAACTGTTTTTTTTTCTTTAATATCTTTGTTCACAATCATCTCGTCTATCAAAGACAAGCAATTATTTCTGTGTACTACTTGTTTCATTTATAACAAGCTTATACCCTGTTAATATTTAGTACCCTAGTTTATTTTATAAACACAAATGCAAATTGCCTCTGTTTACCGAGCTCATATTTTCTCTTATTTTGTAAACATATATGTTCTCCGAGACCTTCTTCACAAACCTGTCATTGATTTACAGAAAAAAGAAGAGTAATCAAATGATTTTTTTTTTTTCGTAAAGATATAATTTCAGAAATTAGCTGCTCAATTTCTAGACACAATAGGGCATGGAAAAAAAAATGAAAATGTTTTTGAGTATTTAGTTCATTAGTCAATATTTCACTGTGTATAAAACTGTACAATAAAAATTTGGTAGCACTTTGAAAAAAAAAATTGGTATCACAACCAGGAAGTCATGTCAGGCCAATTCCTTATACCAGATAAAATCCCAGTGTAAACTTAAATAGTCCTTATCCAGTTACTTTTTTAGATAAAATAACCACAAAAACTCTGTCCAAAGATAACTTGAACTTTGTAGAAAATCATTATCAAGGTATGACTTAACAAAACATTAATACAAATACACCATAAAAACTTAGCAGACTTTCATATATGTATGATTTATGGTCCCTGACTAACAAAGATTGTGACTTTTTCAAGCAGTTATTGAAACAGCATGTGTACCCTTAAAGAACATCTAATGTTGTTATAATAAAGAAAGTCAGAAAAAAAATCAGATAATAATCAACAAGTAACAACAGATTCATTACTGAATGTCAGGGTAACTAAGGCCCGGGCATATTGGGCATCATGCCCATGTACTGCCCACCTGGTCCTGGCCCTCCCATCATTCCCTCCATGGGTGACATTTGTCGTGGACGTCCTTGAGAATATAACTGTTGTTGGAATTGTTGATACTGTGCACTGTAAGATACACTTCCCCCCTGTGGGCCTCCCATCCCCATCCCTGGTCCTCCAGGCATTCTCATTCCTCCATGAGGCATTTGTCCTCCATGAGGTGGGATTGACGGCCCAAAATTGCTCATGGCTGATAGCCTAGCTGCAGAGCTGCCCCCTGGCATCATCTCCATAGATGCTGGACCTCTTCCTCCTGGCATCATGTCGGGTGGAAATCCTCTAGAGGGCCTCCTAGATGCCATTGGTCCCCCCATCATACTGGGTCCAGGTCCCATCATTTGCTCAGGACCCATGTCATATGGTGGTGAGTTGGGGTGGGACATTGGACCCATGGGGTCCATTGCCATCATCCCTGGAGACATTCTCATGTTCCCTTGCATCATTCCTGGCTCATTTGGACCAGGCATCATTCCTGGTGGCATGTTTCCCATACTTGGCCCCATGGGGCCTCCCATACTGTCCCCCATATTGTTCATCATCATGTCGTTCATTCCTCCCATTGGAGGGCCCCCAGGCCCCATGGAGGAGAATTCAGGTCCAGCTGATCCTCCTCGCTGCATCATGTGTTGTGGAGGCATTCCTCCCATTTGTGGCCCTCCAGCAAACGGCGACATCCTCCCAGGCCTCATGACTTGATCCTGAGGGTTTGGGAAATACTGCACTTTAGAGGTGGGTACTTTTGAATCAAAGTTGCTCATTGGTGATGTGAATCTTTGCATGAAGTTGAGATCAGGTGGTTTCTGTGGCGGATTGGGCTGGTTAGCCGGAGGATGGGCAGGCAGATACTGAATTGTATTGGGCGTCTTTGACTGAATTTGAACACTTGCATTTCCCATTGTGTTGCCAGAATGTATGTTTGGAGATCCAGGTCTACAACTCTGTTGGTTTTGGGCCATCATCATTTTGTTGCCCATTTGAACAGATGCTTGTTGCTGCTGCATTTTGCCCATGTCTCCCTGGCCCATGTTAGGATTGCCAATCATGGCTTGGCCTTGTGACATTGACACAGATGATGGGGTCATATTTGGATGCCCTGGCCCAGAGGCCGATGTTGGCATTCCACCCATTTGCTCCATATTCATTTGTTGCACATTCATTTGAGAATTTGGGTAATTCTGCCCACCTGGGCCTGCGTTGACACTTTGGATATTTAACTGTTGTATGGACATGGTGGCATTCACAAATGTATTGTTAACACTAGGTGTTGTGTTTGTTTGTGATTCTGTCAATGATACGGATGAAATCGTTGAGGATTGTGATGTACTTGTGTTTGATGTTGCTTGCTGTCCTTGCATTTGAATACTATGAAAAGGTCCTCCCTGCATCATGTTTTGTTGCATTTGATTTGATAAATGTTCAACCCCCTTGGCTAAGTCAGCGAGAGACGATGATGTGATGTTGGAGAGAGATGATTTGTTTGATGGGGTAGGGGGAGCACTAGATGACACATTAGTTGAAGACATACTATTAGCTATAGAGTTTGTCACAGGGGGTGGGTCATAATGTGAAAGTCTCATGTTGGCTCCAGAGAGTGGGTTAGGCCCAGGAACCGATATTGGGCAGGGTCCTGGGCTATTTAGAGGTCCTACACTGGAAGTCTGACTTGAGTTAGACATGGGGCCTTTGTTTGTTCCTGAATTCAAATGCATGGGTGAATGAGCCACAGGATTTGATCCAAACTGATTTCCCGGTCCATGATTTTCTGGCGTATTTGGGTCACGATATGCAGAATTGAGTTGTTTTGTAATTGTTAGCTCTTGTCCTTCAAACTGGTTGAGGTAATTGATTTGCTGAGGAGAGGGTGTAGGTTGTAGATTTTTGTAGAGGTCTTCCTCAATTTCGGATCGTTTCCTTTTCTGTGATTGTGCATGTTGTGCATAGCTAGGTGGTGGCTTACTTACACTATTTCCCACACTAGTCCCCGATGATGGCCGACTGGGAACCAGGTCAGGTAAGAGGGGTTCAGGATTGCCTACACGCTGCAGTTCTGATGAACTGCTCCGACGTGAAGATTTTTGCTGTCGACCATGCATGGGGCCAGGCATGCCAGGTGCTATTGCCCCTGAACCTGGCAAATTAGTCATCATGGGATCAAAATGGCCACCGGGAGCCATCCCAGGATTCATCATCGTAGGTCCTTGTTCAAGAGATCGAGATCCAAACGAAGACCTCCGTGGTCCTTGAGAAAACATGTCATGTGAATCAAAAACACCCTGTGAAACCATTGGGGGAGACCCAAGAGGTCCATTACAGTTAGGAGAGGTAGAGCTTACAGAGCCACGCTTTTGAGCAATTGAATGTTGGTAGGAAGGAGGCGGAGGCCCATTTCCTGCCATTTCCATGTTTGGATGGCCCATACGCTGAGCCATACCTTGCTGACGTTTCTCCATGTAGAATTCACGCTGTAGACGTTGCCATTCGTGCTGTGCTGGGGACATGTTGTGCATTCCTTGTGGCCCAGGGCCTCGTGGCCCCATAAAGGATGGGCCTGCACCATACTGTGACATGGGCATCATGTTATTTGGAGAACCAATCATGCCATCAGGTCCCATCATACCCTGTTGGGGCATCATGTCATGGCTCGGCATGCTCTGTTGTGTGTTCATTCTCTTGTGTGGAGGAGACATCATGTTCTGCTGCATCATGGGACCTCCTGGCATCCCATCCTGCATCATTCCACCACCTATCCCTGGCCCGGGCCCCTGCCCTGGGCCAAAATGCTGTGGGTGTTGCTCAGGAAACAACATTTCTTGTATTTTCTGCAAATTCTGCAAAGCGTCTTTTCTTTTTTTCAATTGTTCTGGGGTTAAGTTTTCATTAGGCACTTTTTGTTGACTTAAACTTGGATGATGAGGACCGAGCCCTCCAGCCATTGCCATAGATTCAAATCCTTCACCCATCATGCCCCCTTGCCACTGAGGCATGCCTGGGTTACTTCCACTTCTAGAGTTCATGCCTGGTGGGAAACTATACTGTTCCTGCAGCTGAGCATTCTGTTGTTGGACCCACTGCTCGACGGAGGAGCTGGGAGGGAACTGTCCCCCTGCCCCTCCCTGGTTCTTCATCATCAGACTGGGTCTCACATTCCGAGGTGGCATTCCTCCTGGATTTCCAGCAAAGGGGTGAATTTTCATCTGATGCTTCTGAAAATTTCAATTATAATCCTTAGAAAATCATGCTCTAAACATTCACATACTCCAAGTACATGTATTTAGCAACAATCTTGAAATTTTAAATGGAAAAAAATAGGAAATGTTTCACTTATTAAGCTTTTAACAGTTAAACATGGCGATGTTAAATGATATCAGTTTAGTCAATAAATAGTGTTTCAGGAGAACAAGCAAGATTGTCAAAAGTAAAAATGACATGTTACAGTAATGGTAATCTACCATTCTGTAAATTTGAGCAGAAATGTTTACTTGTTCACTATGAACACTTTACAGACCTGAAGGAACTTCTTTGTGTTGGGTTGGTCCATGTGGAATGACAGTATGTTTTTATACTGTCCAGCCATCACCGTCTCTGCTGCATCGTTAGCCATCTGAGTGGAGAACACAAAAATCTGGCTCTGTTGCTGCATAAACTGAGAATCTCCGCTAGTGGGAGGGGCCTGCTGAGGGTGGGGGGTCATGTGACTGGCTGGAGGGGTTCCCCGGGATGTGATGGGAGGAGCAGCTATAGGTGACTTGGATGTTTTGGGAGGCTGGGGTGTCTTATTGGGGCCCAGTGGAGGGGGAGCTTTGGCCGGGGAGGATCGCCTGTCCTCTGTGTCCTCACTAAGAACTTCTGCCAAAGTTTGTGCTGTAAAAGACAATAAAAAAGTGTAACACAAACAAATAAAAAATCATTAACATTTTCTAAACACACATTGATCTCTCATCCTATTATGTTTATAAGTATTTGAAGCATTGCTTACTGTTCTACACATACCTGTTATCTTTGAACTTCTAAGCTAACATTCAGTAATGGATTATGCAACAATATTCATATTATCTAGGACTTACAACAAGTATCCAAACAACAGTTTCAAATTAATTTTCATATTAACACCAATTTAAATCTTTCAGAAGGGAAAATAGTGTCTAGCAAGTGATCTTCCCTTTAAAGGATAACATGATATTCCAATCCCAAGCCAAATCTGTGTCAATTTAGAAATCAGACTTACTTATTAGAAAAGTTCAAGAACAGAAGGTAATTTAGAATGTCCTACTTTTCTTTCAAGAAATTACCATTACGGTTTTAACCAGAAGTCTCTGATGAGATAGTAGCTCTACTGGTGTGTACTTATACAAAAGAAAGATGATCTTAGTATCGTCTACTTGAATAAAAAGTCTAATAAGACCAAAATTCTAGGAGAAATAGTGTTTTCAACGAATTCAAACAAATTTCAATTTTTAGCAACCAAGGCAACACTGTTGATAAAAACTGGTAAACAGAGTTAGGTATCTCGACATAGTCTCCTTATGTACCAAGTCTTAATGAAATTGGACAGAAAATATAGGAGGAGGAGTAACATTTTAAAAATTTGTTTACAGACAGTCAGATAGACGGACACCTTACTAATGGATAAGCTCTCCTGGTCTCTGACTAGTAGAGCTAAAAATAGTTTATCAAACTACCTTTAGAGGCCCATGGGTCTCTTTGGTCACCTGAGTGGCACTATACAACTTATTAGAGCCACATTAGGTTAATTTTTTCTCTCCTCTTATCTTACAATTTGGGAGCCCTTATGCATCTCCAATCAGTCAAAAGGGCAAAGATTTAGACAAAGCTAAATTATATGTACTCTGGAATATTTTTCATTTTTTTCAACTCAACAATTTGAAACCTTCTTTTTCAGAAAATTTTTAAAAATTACTGTAAACCAACTTTTATTTCTATATGAGAATTATTCTTGAGTTTTGCGACATTATTTAACTTTAACATATCAATCACCACAAACCATTTCTGTAATTGTATGTTTCCTCATTTCAAAAATATAATAGTGGTTATGTATTTCAAGCTGAAGAAAGAAAACCGTCATACAGTATTATATAATAGTACAATATAAACAATACAAACAAACGGTCCATGGGCCAGTGGTTCTTGAGAAGAATATTTTTGTAAGACACATTTAAAGAACGAGTGCACTTATGGGCCCTGGTAAAATGTGAAAAAATGAAGAATCAAATTAAGCATAATTTTTCATCTCGGATCATTAATTGATATCTAAACCATAAGATTCAACAAATTTTATAGCTGAAATTGATGAATATACAAAGAGCAAAGCCATACAATGTGGTAGGGGTCATCCGACATTTGTGATTTTCTATGGTAAATCGAGGACGGTCATTCATTTCAAAGGTCAGCCTAACGTTGTACAAACTTGTGCGAATGACAAAAAACGCATTATACATTTATAAAACTTGTGTGAAAGTAGGAAATTTGTACAAGATTAGGCTTGTACTTAAAATATTAAAAATGTATGAAAAGTTCAATGTTTTTCCTATAGCAAACAAGAGCTATTTACCTGTATGACCTATGTTGAACCCACCCGTGGAATAAATTATTTAAAATACCGGTAGTCACGTGAGTTCTACCTAGGTAAACATTCGTCAAAGGTGCTCACTGTAAAAGATAGCCACGTTTTGTATCATTATATCAAAGTCGTGCCGCATAGAGACGTTTGTATGTATTTGGTTTTAGGAACACGAGGGTTAGGAGAGTTTACTGTCGTTAAAATGTCATCATACATAAAAGCGTCAAACATTTTTAACATTCATGCATGACAATGGTACCGGTATTGAAAGCCACCTAAATACACTTTTTTCATTTTAAAATTTAAAGGAACTAATGTTAATACTTATTGCATTATTTCAGATTTTTTTTCTCAGATAAAATAGCTCAAGAAGTATCATTCGGAAAACGCACCCGTCAGTGATCCACCATCAAATTGTTCAAGTGTCCGATTTAAATGTCTCCTCCCCTTGATTTAAATAAACGAAACTCAAAATAGGTTTGGTACGACTTTTCCTTTTGGGGTGTCTATAGGCATTTTAAAATCTTCATTTGTTTTAAATCCATGCTGATTTGGGTGATGTTTTAACGTGATTTTAATTAGAAATATCCACTTGTGTTTAACTATTACCAGAAGAGAACAATTTCATTATATATTCTAAAGTAATACGACACTGAAAAGGGCCCATTAAGCATTGCTTAAGTGCACTTGTCCTTTTCACTAATTCTGCATTATCTACCCGAGAAAGAGGACACGGCTCTTCATTTTAACAAACTTGAATCCCTTTCACTCAAGGATGCTTTGTGGCAAGATTGGTTGAAATTGGCCAAGTGGTTTTTGAGAAGAAGTCAAAGATGTGAAAAGTTTCTAGATGATAGACAGATGCTGGACACCCTTCAATCAGAAAAGCTCACTTGTGCCTCGGTTCAGGTAAGCTAAAATTGAACATGGTTTGTCAATCTGTAGCCAGGTATTCTTTAAAAAAAATTTAACCATATGCTTTTGTTTATAATAAAAATGGACCCTTTTGTGGCCTTGACCCTGCACGATAAAGCCACAGTCCAACAATCTAGAATCTACACTTTATAAAAATAACTGAATTTTAGAGCCTGGCAGTTTTTGAGATTTTTTGTACACATTTTCTTTGTAAAACTATGAATTCTTGACCTGGCCTCATTCCTGATTCAGGGACCATTATTGATCTACATGCTAGCATTGCATATATATACAGGCATATAATTTTTGCCTCTTGAAAAGAAGATCTTCAAAGGATTTTCCCTACACATCTTTATTTAAAACCTTGGTTCCTCCCCTCTTTGGCCCCATCCCTGCCCCAGGATCTGAACCTTCACTATATAAAGAAATCCCCACTAAGTTTTGTCATTTATGGCTTGGTGTTTCATGAGAAAATATTTAAATAACCTCACCCTATTTTTATCATTTCTTACTTATCTCCCTTTGAAAAAGGCCCTTCATTTGAACTAATTTGAATCCCCACCACCCAAGAATATTTTGTGTGCTAGGTGGTTCTGGAGAGGGAGTTAAATATATGATGAGTTTAGGTACGAAGCACACCCACATGACTAAGAGACAAAACCAGACAAAAATAAATCACCTGAGTGGCTCAGGTGACCTAAAACGTCCACAGTCTGACCTACATTTCTGTATGTGATATTAAAATGGAAAATACTCACGAGGTAATTTCTCTTCCTTCACTTTTGCTTTGTCAAAGGCATGGTTGTTGTTTTCTGTAAAACAAACTTCTGTTAAAATCCAGATTATAGTCACATGGGGACTAAACTTAATTAAATACCAATTATTTTTTATTGGGAAACTCTCTCTTGTATGTCAGAATTTAAAATAAAAGAAAAACTAACAATGATGTCATATTTCTCAAATACTTAGACGTATTCCTTTCCTGTCTACGTACCTGATTCTCCGTTAGTCAGTTTGTTACTGGGCGGTCCTGACGAGTTATTGGTGCACATTTCCGTGCTACGATTCTCCTCCACAGGTTCCTCCTTGACCTCAGTCTTGACCTCTGACTTGATGGCAGTGCCATTGAGTTCGGTGCCTACTTTATCTGCCGATTCAGGCAGCATCTTGGTGGCTGACTGCGTGCCGGCACTGTCCGCAGCCTCCTGACTCTTCTTGGCTTCACACTCCAGGTTCACACTTTATATAATGTTCTTCACTTTCCTGTAATTTCACAATAGATTCAGATTAACACTTGACAATATGTAGGTATGAGTATATATTTTTTTCTTATACCATTCAAGATGAAATTTAAGTGGTGACACTGCATAAGAAAATCAATAACAGTCTCTGGTTTCTATATTAATACAGGACAAAAACCTTTTGTGTTTCTCACTTACTTTCCCTGACAAATCATCAAAGTAATTGTCACGGTTACACTAGACATCATAGGTAAAACACTTTAACTACACGACAGAATTTGGATTCTTTAAATCATTAATGATATATAAACATATAAACATATAAATAACACTTATATATAATTATATAAAAAAACATTCTCCAAGTCAGTATGTTTAATAGGCATTCTCACAAATGTGCAGAATATTAATATGATACAATTTAACTACTTAACTGTCATTAAAAAAACATACAACTTTATAAAAAAGAAAAGAATGATCAGTTTGTAGGGAGTAAATTATTAACGTATGTTGATGGAGTGCGATTTTGCCTTTACAATGTGATAGCTGATCCCACAGCATACAACATTAGAAATCAATAGATCGGGGGATCTTTATTAACACTGTTAAATAATCACGACCAATGCCCTTTCCAATGGCAGTCAGAGACTCTAAAAAGAGACCTTTTTTAACACTTACTCTTCAAATTAATTTTCTCCAGCTTTTTTCCCCTGTTATTGTGATATAATGTGGGGACGAGCAGCATGATGACAGTTTGTGATGGCTTCGTGTTTGGAAAGATCAATATGATAGGGCTTGATTAATTACAAAAATGGATGATCTTGTTTTAAAGTATTGAACACCTGCTTTTGTAATCTCTCTTTTTTTTAATTCTCAGACTCTTCTCTATTTTAATCAAAGTTCCAAAAACTCTCAACAGAAAAAAAATCTTCTTGAAAACAGATCTGGACTTTATTTCCAACCACATAACAACCAGAAGTCTTTGACAAGACTAGCTCCGGTATGTACTCATAATAAAGAAAGATGTATCTTAGTACAGTCTAGTTGTGTATCAAGTCTTACCTAAATATTCTAATCAGACCCAACACTTTAGAAGAAACAGCTTTTTGAAAGAATTTCAAAGAAATTTCTATTTTTAGTCACCATGACAACACCTTTTGTCATAATCAAAACCCCATATATAGAAATTTGTATCTTAGTACATTCTACCTGTGTACCAAGTCTTACTGAAATCAGACTAAAACTGTAGAAGTAGCATTTTGAAAGAATTTCAAAGAAATTTCTATTTTTAGTAACCATGGATACACTGATTGTAGAAATCAAAGACATATGACCAGAATTATATATTAGTTTAATCTACCTGTGTACCAAGTCTTACTGAATTGCGACCAACAGTGTAGGAGAAGTAGCCTTTTAATAAAATCTTAATAAACAGCTATGTGGATTTTTTGTAATATTTATTACTGGCTAGAAAAAGTTATGGGCAAGTCACTAAAACCATCAAAGAATCCATGAAAAATATATAATAAAAATATATCTTAATTAGCACTAATTTACACCCTGATATTCTGAACTAAACTTATCAGGTCACATAAAAGTACATGTCTTCAATTAAGAGATTTTTTCTTCTACAAAACTCTGAAGTGGTATACACTATGTAAATGCAAATTCCTGCAAAAACAATGAAGTAAATAATAAAGCAAGTTAAATTTTTGAAAGTGGTCATATTAAATCATAATTTTTTGCTTATCAAAGGTCTTCACCACTAAGCTGGAAGATGCAATTCTCCACCCCCTCCCCCCTTTCACTTCTTGTTGGTTGAAGTACTGTAGTAACAAAGTAACTAGTAAATGCTGGTACTGTAGGATTGTACAGTGACCTTTTGTTTTACTTGTCGCCAAACTGAGAGACACATCTATACGCCTGATTTCCCACTCCTACAGTCAAGGTTGAGACTATGCCTTTGCAGTAAATGTAGAGCCTAAAAATCCCATAACTTCTGTCTACTGTTTAAAATTCAATGACATTAAAAAAAATTCATATTTTCATTCTGAGTAAGACAAACAAACAGGTCTCAGCTGGGAATACTGTCTATATGTATTTTATTTGTTCCCCACCCCATTCCCAGAATTACAGCAATTCTACTTCATAAAGTAGCAACCCATGGGTCACCACACATACTTCATGACTCTATAATTTTATATCTACTTACTACATAAACTCTATTGCATCAACTTTTAGTGTGAACAGCAAATGTACAGACATGACCTACTCACACGATGGGCAGTCTTTGCCAAAACCAACAGGTTCAAGTCCCAAGGCCAGTAAAGTCTCTTGGGGGGGGGGGGGGGGGGAGGGGGAGGGGCTAGTAAAATTGAAAATCAGATAAGTCTGATGGGACTGCAGTCTATGCTGTCTGTTTTTGGACTGGGTTGATAAAAAAAAAAAAAAAAAAAACCATGAAATAATTAAGTCCCCACAGATCCCCCCAAACGTGTTTCATGTGGTCCTATTGTCCTTTTTCAACACATAAAGGTAGTACTACATGATTGATTTATTTGTAAAACCACCTTTTCATGATTGTTTTTATTCTGAATTTCTATTTCTTCTGTTTATGGAAATACATATGAATAGCTCATACGTATATTCAATTGGATAAAATTCATCAATTCAAATCTATAAACGACTTAAGAGTAAGCATTACAAGTTATTTCAGGAAAAGTATGTATTTACAATGCATCTTTAGTGAAAAGAAAAATTGAAATATTGTACTTTGTTTGGGAGTTAAATAAATAGAGAAGGTGAAGTAAGTTTGTTCATTTATAAATTAAAATTCATTTAATATTTTCTGTCACTGAAACTATTGGTTCATTTAAAATTTAATGTCATACAGTGAGAAATAATCTGGAATTTCCAAAAAAATATAAATTTGTGGAAAAAGCTTGGTGTGGTAAGTAAATACATGGTATGGTAAATATCTTTCACCCCGGAAAAGTTTTAGACTATCATCATGACCTCATAGACTATTTCTAATTGTATACTCACCAGAGTAATGTCCCCTGAACATGTAGACATTGTGTGTTCGGCTTTTCACCACCTTCAAAGTGTGGAAAATTACATCATAAATAAAATTACAATCACATGACAATAAATGTTGTCAATCTGAAGCAGATTTTATATACAGAAAGATGCTTTAAATGACACCATATTTTACTTATTATTTACTTACAAACTCATCCATTTTCTTGGAAAAAAAGAAACAAAAATTTTCCTTTCTAATGAAAATTGTCTTGTGATACATTTTTAATTCTTGCAAACAAAACCTGGGAAATCTGACAAAGTACAGCAACAGGTTCAAAATATCTTTTTATGTTAAACAGTGAGAAACTTCTTGCTATACTTCACAATACTGTAAAGGACATATTTCTGGGCTTAATGACACCCAGAATCAAGGGTCTAAAACCCCTCCCCACCCCACTCCCCCTAGTGCTGTGTCTTTCTGTCTGGACTTCCTGAAGCTCTGTAAATCACACGGGTAACTTTTGCAGCTTGATAATTTTATAATTTGATTCTTGAAAGAATTTAATTCTACTGTTTCATGATTCCATGTCATGATGTATAAAATAACACTACTTGTAATATTATAACAAAATAATTTTTTTGTCTTCCAATTTTGAAAGAATTGTGGTGAGCTGCAAAATGCCACTGTGACAATTACTCAGTAGCTTGTAAATCTCTTAATTGGTTTAGATCCATGTAAATCTAATCTTAGTCACTATCTTGAAACTCAGTATTTGTTACCTAACACATTCTTTCAAATTTTACTTCACCATGTTGGACTTTTTCAATCAAATTCACATTATATCTGAAATAAAAACAAATAAGCATTTAAGTTTATTCATGAGTACCAAGAAAATATGACCAAAAATAAAATGAACACATTAGGAACTATAAAAATTGAATTGAACAATTGTCTTTGTGGTCAATTCAAATCTAGTAACTTTCCCTTTTGTTTTAAATCATATTTTTATAAATGGCATAATGATATTAAGGAGTAATCTGAGATGTGTGTAGGAAATGTAGGAGGACCATCAATAAATCAGTAGGAAAACACAAGACACATTTGTTATTTACACCTAGCAGAGTGAATTTAATAACTGGATGTTAATTGTTTACTATACAGCTTCTTTACTACCGAACTAATGTACTACTAAAGAGACCAGACAATTACCAACATGTATTCTTAGATGTTAAACATTGTATCAACAATCTAGACAGCCTCTATATAAGTGTGTGTCACTCCAAAAAAAGAAAAGTCCTTTATCTCGAGACACACTCCAAAACGTAAACATCAAACAAGCAAAGTGTTCATCGAGGCACTTCACAGTAAAACATAACCCATGCCGTGCCCCACTAACATTATCCATGTATCACTGTTAATTTTGTCATAAACACTATTTATCAATGAAATCCTGTTTTCTTAGCCTACTGACCTGTTGCTGAGAGAGTAGCCTCCCTTGGTGGTGGATGACAAACACATATAACTGATACCTTTCCAGTTTGATAAATTCATGTGTGACCTTCCAACTGAAATCTCTTTATCACTAAACATGCGGTTCACAATATAATCGGACTACATTCCTTTAATTGTAGCTTGAACATTTAAACTACCTGAGCATTCCTCACTGACCTCACGACCTTATCCAATATAAAAAGCCAACTTAAATATCTACGGAGAAATTGAACTTCCAGCTGATTAAGAGACGTAGTAAAGACAGAAAATTTGCATGATGACCTAATAATCCCCAGTCTTTATTGTTATGATCCAAAGACAACACACACACACATACAGATTTCAAAGTTCATCAAGTGTGAAAATGAAATCTGAGCTGGCCCGAGTTTGTGGGGAAGTTTGGGGGAGATAGAACACTGAATCATCTTGGGTGACCTTCTCGCACACTCACTGATAAAACACAAAAACAAAACTTATCTTTTACAGGTACACCTAGGAAATTAAAAAAAAATCAACTCCAAAAAAAAAAAAAGGACTAAAATTCCTGACTTAATCTTTTCTGGATGCTCAGTTTTATCTGGTGCCTAATGAAAAAAATTTCCTTGACCTTATTTAACCTTGTCAATATAGGGTCATTTTCAATGAGTTGTGCTATGCTATTGTCAAAACACTCTCTATCACAGGTAATGGCCTGGAAATATGTAATATGAGTCAGAGCTTAAGAATTTAAAATCTTACCAAGCTTTTTATGGTTGTCATGAGAACCCAATGTGACAATTCAATTCAGTTATGCTTTCACTAAAAATTGTGCATCTAATTGATGTGCATTGCAAATATTTCAGAACTTAATTTCACTTTGAGTACAATAACATTAATCTCCTCAACAGTTTCAGTGGCATGCATATATGTTTTTATAAATTCATTTTCCAATTCAAGCCAACATTTTCAAATATACATACATGTAATTAAATTCATTAGATTATAAACTGTTTTATTCAACTAGTTTTAATTATTCCACAGATAATCTCTAGCTTCAGATGTTTCCATTAAGACAATGGAATATTAAATGAACTCCCATCTGCATTTCTTTAGTGAAATTTGAGAGATCTGCCACAATTTAGGTCATGGTTGTCTCTATGTGATGTGGTCCTATAAAACAGCAGTTTTCTCCTGAAGTTAATCAGGACATTGAACCAGTGCTCAGGTAAACCTGTGTAGGTATACACACCAGACTGCTTATAGTATACAGCCCACATGATGGCTATATAGAACTAGTATGTCAATACTACTAAGGATGGAAGGGACTGGGGTTTATGAATGACTACATTATGTGTCTACCAATTAAAACTTAATCTTACTCACTGTTGAGACTGAATCACTCCACTGGTACTTGTTGTCCTGTTAAATATGTGCACTAACTTTACCTTACATTCTTCTAGTACTCAATCTGTGTTTTTCTTAACTCAAAATTAGTGAACTAATATAAGATTTATTTCCAATCAATCATCAATTTGTGAACAAACTGTAGATTCCCAAACATTTATAAAGATATACTAAATCTGAATGAAATATGGTTATAATCTATACATGTACATGAGAGGTTTTCATTACATTGGATAAAATTTCTAACATACTTGTCCCTATCTAATAATGGTCATAGAAAATCACTTCCATTAATACACATCTATGTGACCAAGAATTAAGATACATCTATTAGTATAACATTTAGTATACAGGGGAAGGATTATTCATTTTAGAGCCAATGTGCAAAACATTTTTTTTTTTCTTCCAAAAGAGTTGTACCCCTTTCCTTTAAGATCCAGTACCCCCCTCCCCCCTTTTTCCTCCGTACAACAGAAACTAATATTAGTAAAATTTAATTATAACAAAAAAGCCAAATAACAAACTCAATTATCTAAATAATTACTCCAAAATAATCACAAAATACAGATTGAAATTTTATACTGTAAAAATTACATGATTCTAAACAAATTCTTATGCTATTTGTTTTGTGTGCATTTTTTTTTTGGTGAAAAAAAATTGTCTGAGGGGTGTATAATTAATGATTATAATTTGTTGATAAGCCTGTCTATTTTTCTACACAAGCAAATCCCCATAAACAAAGCCTGGGAGTCTGTGTATGAGCAGAGAAAGATACAGGCCAATAATAAATCTAGTTGTATATATAAACAGTATCTGAATCTGACAAAACATTTCAACACATTTAAGCTGAACTGCTGGTTGTGGGAGACCTTGAAGAAGAGGAATTGTTACACAATCAGGCAATGTGGCAATGTTTGTGCTGAAGCCAACATTTAATGTGTTGTGTTCTTAGAATGTACACTTCCCCTACACATGGTATGCCACACATCCTAAAAACTCCCACAGATCATACACCGAGTTTGATAACAACTCTGCAGAATTTTAAAAAAGTAAAACATGTACACACTAGGAAAGTATTGAGCCTATGTCGTCAGCAGTATTGACAAAGAGACAACGTGAGAGATCAGAACACCAGGAAATCAATATGTCACTCATATAGGTCAATGTAGGTTTTTATCTGGAAAAACAGATTCCACAGATTTCCTAGAGGAGATCAGATAAATTACTTCAACAATAAACTCTGCTTAAATATTAATATACCCACTGGTGTAATTACATGTATTACTAAGCCTCTCCGCTTAAACATTAATATACCCAACTGTGTAATTACATGTACTAACTTAAGCCTCTCCATTTAAATTTTTACATACCCACACATGTAATTACATGTAAGCCTCTCCACTTAAATTTTTACATACCCACACATGTAATTACATGTAAGCCTCTCCACTTTAATATTTACATATCCACACATGTAATTACATGTAAGACTCTCCACTTAAATATTTACACACCCACTGGTGTGATTACAGTTAAGCCTCTCCACTTAAATATTTACATACCCACACATGTAATTACATGTAAGCCTCTCCACTTAAATATTTATATACCTACACATGTAATTACACGTAAGACTCTCCACTTAAATATTTACATACTCACTGGTGTAATTACATGTAAGCCTCTCCACCTTATATTTACATCCACAAGGCACCTGTTTAAAGCCTTTCAACTTAGATATTAATATAACCACACATATGTCATTACAAGTAAGCCTCTCCAAATAAATATCAATATACCCATTGGTGAAATTACATGTAAGCCTCTCAATAAATATACCTAGTGGTGTAATTATATATAAGCTTACATAGTCTTAGTAGTCAAAATAACTTAATATGACCTAAATTGTAAACTTTGTCTTTTATTCTAATTTTGGAATTTAATTTGTAATCAATTCTTGTCACTTAATTAGACTTATAGCAACTGTCATGAACTCTTCAAAATGATGGCTTTATTATTTTAAATTTTTACTGCGAGTCCTACGTCACTCAATACAAATCTTAAGCTACATTACAGTGTATATAATGTTGCTGTACCTTTATTTTTACATGATTGATACATGTACAATTCTGATTACACAACTGAAGACAAAGTACACCTTCAATATATTTATATTAAACATAAAATGGTACAACATATCACATCTAGACTTCTAAGTTCTACCTGACTTCACCTTAGAAATTAAAATCTTTTTTATGCATATATGAATAAACCATTATATACATTTATCTACCATCTATCATTATTTTAAGATGTTTACATTGGTTGCAATGTTGAAATTTATGAATCCCCCCTTCTCCAAGTTTATTTTGTCCATTTTTTGAATCAAAATGTATGTCATAAAACAATAAGTTCTGAGCAAAGTCTTTAGACGTGGCACCAAAATAAAAGTTAGTATACTGCAGTTCTCCAATCTACAAGCAATACTTTCCCTTCTAGTGCTTCCTGGTACTGCCTATATTTAACAATACAAAAGTGCACCACGGTCCTCCTTCAATGCATATTTTAATGTGTCAAGTAGTTCCTGAGAAAGTATATTCTTCTCCAATTACATCTTCTATATCTACAAATTATCTCCCTTAATGCATTCCTCTCATACAAAGTGAAACTTGTGTCATTTTTACATTGTATGCAGGAATAAAATCTAAAACAAGGGCACCGCAGGAGCATCCCCACGCAAGAGAGCACATTTCTAAGAGGCCTGTTACGTACAACACACTCACCACTCATATCAAAACAAAAGCAAATGGTTGTAAAAGGCGGTATCATACAAAATTCTTATCATTTTTTTTATTTGAACTTGTTTAACTGCCATTGATTCCTCATTCAATCGACAACAGAATATTATTCAACATCAATTAAACTGTACAATTATTACCATTATTGCAATCATAAAACACATTTCATTG